GTCTAGACAATGGTGAATGCATAGATAGAATGTGCATACTAATGGGGGTAGAGGGGAAACTAACTACTGTCATATAGCAATTAGATTATATAATAATAATAAATTGTGAAACCGAGGATAAAATGTACAACCACAGCACATAATGATATTGATAATACAGTTAGCATTACAAATAAAGTAAAAATATAATAAGATTAGGTTTACGGTTATCCGGTATCACCAGAAGAGATAACTATTTTAGATTGAGAGCGAAGGCCAAGGGAGGGAGAGAGATAGAACAAACTTTTTCTGAACGCAGAGATTGGATTGAAAAATCATTATGGAAACTCAAGTTGAGGTGGCCACCTGTATCGAATTGTAAAAGCTGAATTCTTGTCAGTCTTGTGCTCCGTATCCATTGAGTATGCCAGTTTGAAACTTCTGGTTGACTGTACAACTCGTTTACCTCACCACTTTAGACAATGCTCCAGAAGGCGATAGTGGGCTTGACGAGTCGTTCTGCCTGTGTAACTGTCTCCACATGGACAGTTAGACTTATAAATGCATGCTGAAGTGGTAATTGTTATTTGAATAAAGCAAGGGTTCTTGACATCACTGTACAGCTTGTATTAATGACGGATAGACATTCTATTGACTGCTATTATCCCTCCATATATATGAATACTCACTTTGCCAGTTATAAGAAGGGAATGGAGAATGGGGGTTACTGAAATTTTACCTGGCTTGCTAATTTTTCCCAACAACAAACTAATACTAGTTTGATCTATACAAATGGACTGTGTAAACAAATGAGATACGTTTCGGGTTTCCGAAGAGGAATTGTAAAGATGTATTCGTGGTTTTGAATAAATCTTACTAGCAACTGTTAAAAACAAACCCTGAAAACCTGATTCAATAGTCTTCCATGGTTTTTTTACAAATGGAAATGTTAGTTCGATTGAATTTGAAAGGATTACAATAATTTCGGATATTTTTACTAATGTTGTTCAGTGGCAGAACGCCCGCCAACCACATATCGTGTTCGAAGTTCAATCCTCGACTAAATCACTCCTAATCTTGGCTCAACTGGTGGCAAGCTCAGTAAAAAGGGAAGGTTTAATTGGGAGGTTATCAACCTCTCCCTGCAAGACTTCATAGCTGAAGCTTGAAGCTCTGTGTTTCACCCAAGGACACAAAGGAACGAAATAATAAAAACAACAAAATTACTAACTGTGTGGATAATGATGCTTGATAGTTTGCTAGTATAACAATAAATTTATTTGGCTAAGAAAAATAATCCTTTCCCAATGAACACCTGCAATACGATAACTCTTATCGTTTATCTTTAAAATGTATGTGAATAAGTCTTTATCTGAAACGTTTATTATTTGGCTAACGTGATAAAACAAAAATGAGTGAAAAGATTTTACGACTTGTACAAATATACATGGATGAATAATTTTCATAAGGCATTAAATAATTTGTTATTTAACTCTGAGAACTGATTGGTAGTCAGCTATACATTATCTGAGTTTCAATCACGTTCACAATAATTATCAGTGTTACAGGATATCATCATGGCCTGACATTAGTCAGAGAACCACTAGAAAACCTAGGAGTAATGCACAGCTGTTTCGTCCTAGTTTTGGACTCTTCAACAGTACGCACCCGCTGAGATTCGAACCCAGGACCTTCTGGTTACAAGGCCACTGAGCTCGTAGACCATTAAGCCACTAGGACCCGATCCAATGGCACATGAATTCTAACTTTTGCCAATTCACGACATAGCTCGACCCCTAGCCAATGTCTTCGGCGAGTATTTGTCCTCACACCCGACCTGCTGCACCCTACTGGTCACGACTTCTAACTAGAACCCTTCTAACTAGAATAGAGGAAGTGTGTTTGAAATACTTAAAATCTTGTATTTTACAGGAAATTTGATTCTTTGTCATTCAGTCATGCAGTCAGACATCTTGAACCTAGATTGCTGACTGACCACTGAAATCTAACTTCTATCAATTCGTGATACCAGGTTGACCATTAGTCAACGTCATGGGTAGACATTCATCCTCACTCCTGACAACGTCAACCCCACTGGTCACGATTTCTCACTGGAATTCCAAGAAACACCGACACGCTAAAATCAAGAATAAATAGTTATGAGAATTCATGGGCCATTGATTCGGGTCATGAGAGCTTAATGGCCTACGAGCGTGCTTCATAAACGGAAGGTCCTGAAATGGAACACTGGTAGGTGCGTACTGCTTAAAAGTCCCGAACTATGTCGAAACATCTATCTAGCACTTCTTGGTTTACAGTGGTTCTCTGTCTTATATCAGTAGGCGGTCGTACTTGAAAAAAATCAAATCCGTACAGATCAACTCTTGAGAATTTTAAGTTTTCAGTATTTATGTCTTTATTTAAAACAGACACACTCAGGTTTTTCACACGCTCATGTGTGCCTTCTGAGAAATATTAGGCCGATGATTCACACAAGTCTGATTTTGTTTTAAATTGCTGTTGGTTGGATAAACCTTGTCTATGTTAAAATTTTATCACAGTATCCGAAAAGAAATTAGGCTGAGAAGATAACAGACCAAGAGAAAATAAATCCAGTGTTTCATGACTATTGGAAAAAAAATGTTACGATAAAAATAAACCTGAGCAAACACACTTTAGACTCACTAGATGATACACATCACCTAAAGTTTATTCATTTTGTCCTACAGTTTAGTTGGTTTTCAATCTTAATGAACGAATTCCTACACTGCACACTTATTTACCAGCCATCAACAACAATAGCAGCAACATCCAGCGCCAATCACCATCAATGAGAGGGATTTGAAAAAGGTTACTTCATTCATTTATCCAGCGTTGAGCATTGTCTCATCTACAGGAGGAACGGACGAGGATTTCTAATCGAGTGAGAATCGGGAAGGCGAGAAACACATTCATCAACCTGAAATCAATCTAGAAATCTTTGACACTCAGCATCAACAACAAAATTCGGTCGGATTTTCAATACAAACGTCAAGTCAGTTCTCCTAAATGGATCAGGAACTTGGCGGGCGGGTCACAAATAATATTTCCGACAGCCTGCTGCAGACCTTTATCAACAACCGTCTCCGCTCTTCACTGAAGAGGCCACTGGGCGACATCGCGCGTCAGGCCATTGCTCGAGCGGAACCAGGTTGAAAGGGAAGTGGCGAGTGGGACGTCAGTGCAAGGGTGACATGGAGGAGATCGTGTGAAGAGGAGTTGAAAGAGTAAAGACTATCATGGATGCAGGTGAAAAGTACAGCAGAAGACAGAAGCAAGTGGAGACGTGTAGTTGAAGCCGTATGTTTCACTAGGAACCCAGGGGAACAATAATAATACATTTATTGACGGCATGATTTGATTTTATTCCGTTTTTTAATTTCGTAGAACACAGCATAACTAGCCACATTAGGTGATTAGCTAGATAAAATAGTTATTCATATTACAGCTGTTTCAGAGCAGTAAGCTGTTGTTTCAGTGACAAAAGCTGACCACACATATTAATCACATTTATTACCTAGCGGAAAATTTTGCTGTCACATCTAACTGATAACAGCAAAACATGTGTTGGTCACATGTAACGCAGAGATTTTACTGAATATATATATATTTGACATGTCTACCTGAAGCTTTCAAACACAAAATAAAATAGTCTTATCGTTCGTAGGTAAAAGCCAGATGAAACAGAATGTCGGTGATTTGTCAAGAAAGAATTTACCTCTGTACATTTGTTGTTTACTCTCACAATATGGCGTATGATTTACAATAAAAGCCTTAGCGCTAAACAACAGCCTGTCTGCATCTAAAAAATGAGAGTAAATGTAATTATTAAAAATATAGTTTAATAAAAGTAGATTACCGGAAGATAATAATAAGTACAATAACAAAGCATCGAAAAATATAATCTTTTTACGGACGTATAAAGGAGTGTTTATGTGATTCAGAGTAAACACTCATAGCTCCTTATACATATAATAATGCATAATGGAGATTTTTTTAAAATACGAATTCAGGTATACATGGTATTATCTATGTGGGTGGTCCATATAACTAACTTAATAAGTATGAGAAAAATTTTATTAGGAGATTAGATTTAGGGGAATAGACATATGCTTTCCTATTTTATCCTTCTCTCAGGTGTTTTAATTATTTTCACAGATTTAAATGCATCTGTACATCAAGTCACTTGGTTACTCCTCCCTTGACAAAAATTAGAATCCTGTATACATACACTGTTAAGGCCAAAGCTAAATCCAACCTTTTCGATTATATTTCACGATAGACAAACTCTAGTTTATGGTAATATTAAGCTGGTATTTTGCTCTTCGATACTGATTTTTAACCAGATATAAATAGGCTTCCGTAAGTCAATAGTGAAGCTACACACACACCTCTTGTTTTCTCCATGATGCTAGCAGAGATAAAAATCAGCAATAATTGAAAGTTTATTTTTAATTTCGATAAAAATAGACTGATTTTAAAGAATTCTGTATAAGAGTTATTGTTCACAAGAGACTAGAGAACAAAATTATAGTAGGCAAGGCGATTAAGATGTTAATGAATGGGAGTAGAATCTAATCCACTGTTTCAGAAGTAGCCCACATCAACAGACTGTGTCTGTGCGTTAATGATAAACTTGGTTTGATTGACTGAATTGACTATAAGGAAGAGATATTTCAGGGTGACATTAAGTCTCAGCTGACAACAAGTTTTGATACAGGAGTAAGGTGAAAACCTCACACCTAGCTGTCAAATTTTTGCTGTCCGTTAACGTGATAGCTCTAACTAATGGGTTTTTGTTCTATATCCTCTTTTATATGCTTAATTTCTTTCAATGTAATAATGTCATACGTTGGCAGTATTACTTCTGTTGTGTTACAAGCAAGATGTATGTATATCTTTTACTGCTTATGAAGTGTTTAGAAAAGTGTTTCTCTTTCCTTCTTTTCTTGAATTCATGACCTACTTCAATTAATAATTAGTATCATGGATGGTAATGAACTTGAGCATATCGAACCGAAATCTTTTAAAGGAAACTTCAACATGAAAAAGCTGTAAGTCTTCTCTATTGATTTACATTTTATTCAAATGCATTTACATCAGCAGGCTACAATTAAGCTGACACTGTCCATCAGAGTAGAGTTTGTGCAAGTTATGCAAAATACAAATTTATCAGCTTTGGGCTAAAAACACCAGGCTAAAGATTACTTGCTTCTTTGTCAAAGTAGATGTTATCATCCTTATATATCAAAAGTTTGAGAATATTTTACAATCAACACCTCCTCTAACATAATTTTTAAACACTTAGAATTAGGTTGAAACATTGACTGCCAATCTATAGTTAGCATTTTCGTGGGTTCATACATTTCTTGTCTCAGTTCATGCAAAAAAGAATTCTGTTATCTGAAATTGACAAAGTAGAACATCGTTTTCAGCTTATTACAGAACAATATAACTTATTGTAAGGAAGCAGAACAGAGAGTAAACAAAAAATGAAACACAATAAGAACGAAGAGAATAGTTAAAATGAAACGAAACCACGAAACCTGTAGGGGACTTAATAGCATGGTAGATAACGGTACAAATATCAGAATAAAAATCCAAGTTAACAATATTGTAACAGAATGTTATGAAAAATCAAGGTAACGAATTAAAGAAATTAATCGCTACCTTGCTATACAGTTTAAGTCTTCTGCTACAAATTAATAATGTAATTCATAGAAGCATTCACTACTGGAGTCGTGTCTACTAGTAGAGGCTGTGCACCGGTTGTGGAATAAATAGTCTTTGGATTAGGATGAGAGGTTCCTTCAAAATCCAAAGGAGACAACTTGGTTAAAAGTGAAGCAGGTAGACAGCACAGAGCAGTGAGAAGAAGAAACAACGAGTAACACAGCATATTATGGACTGTACTCCAAAGTCATGCACATTTGAATAAAGCCAGAACAACAGTGGTTTGTGCAGAATAATATGGTACCATCATTTATTTCGTTGGCTCCTCATCATCTGCTTACAGCCTAAATAAATTATGAGGTTTAAGTACAGAAACGTTTTAACATACTTGCAAATTTTAAATGTTGTCAGTTGACAGAATGTTCCACAATTAGTAAACAGTGCTCAGAAAATTGCGCTTTTATAGTTTTTACAAAGGCATTTCAAGTTTAAACAAAAAGATAAATGTATGCATATAATGGTAAAGGAGTTACGTATTAAAGATGAGATGTGTGTTAGATGCATAGTGACTAATTAGTTAGGTAACAATGTACTGGGTTGAACTGAAATCATAGAAACAAGAGATAAGCAAATTACAGATTATAAAAGGGGCGTGAGGTTAAAGACAAAGTTTACGTAATCAGATGAGAGAAAAAAGACATCCAGTTACCAGAGCAAGGAGAGACTAATAACGGCTTCTTCTCTGTGAACACATAAATCTGGTTTCAAGCGTTTGATAGAAATTGCTTCGGCAAACTTGAGGAGAATCGAGCTCCTTTGTCTATTGATAATTTTGAAGGATTTCTCGATTTCTACCTCATGACCCGTGTCGAGGAGATTTCTGGTAATAGCACTATTATAAGAGTTTATTCCCTTGAAACGTAGGCTTTCCTGAACATGTTCAAAAAATCGGAGGTATGCCTTTCTTTCTGTTCTCCCAATGTAACTGCTCCCGCAGATACACGTAAATTTGTATATACAGTTGAAGTTAAAATGAGAAGGGTATCTAACGACTTTTGGCTGCACCAAAGAGCATGTTGTTCGATGGACGGGAACCAACTCAGCTGCAGGATAGGCTCTGGCTAGTGACGTACTCAGTATTCTGTTGACCATTTCTGCAATATCTTCACCTTTAAAATCTAGTTGAATGAAGACAGGCTTCTTTTCAACTGTGATTTGCTTGGTATTTGGACCTTCACATCTTCCTTATTTGTCAATGCATCTTTGAGGATAACCGTTGTTTTTCAGCATCTTTTCAAGATTCGTAAATTCTTCCTCTAGTTTCTCTGCAGAGCATATTCTCGTCGCTCTATAGTACAGATTCTTGACTAGTGCTCGTTTATAGCTATTTGGACAAAAACTATTAAAATGTAAGTATTGTCTATTCCATGTGGGCTTTCGGTAGATTGACCTCTGGAGACTACCATCTTCTAGGCGTTGCATGGCGACGTCAAGGAAATATAGCACTGTCTACTGATTGTGGAACATTCTGTCAACTGACAACATTTAAAATTTGCAAGTATGTTAAAACGTTTCTGTACTTAAACCTCATAATTTATTTAGGCTGTAAGCAGATGATGAGAAGCCAACGAAATAGTCAACTATGGCACCATATTATTCTGCACAAACCACTGTTGTTCTGGCTTTATTCAAATTCATCAAGGGGAATAAATGAACGAATTTTATGCACATTTCACAATGAATCCTTTTAAACAAAAGTTGTGTACAATGTTTCCATGTTTAACACTTAACCAAAACTGTACTTTTGCGGACTTTACAACCTTGCTGTTATATCACCGCATTCAAATGCTTCTACAACCTCATACATTTTTCGGTTACAGTGATCGTCTCCATAGATTAGGAAAAGTTAAGCAGCTACAGTTGTTTCAGTCATTGTAACCAAGTCAAAACTACGATTAGAAAAATTCACTACTATGTTCTTTTTATAGGACTTACTAACCGTTGGATAAAAACTGATTTCGTATGTTCTTGCAATGTAGGCTATTCGAATGGAAAAATGCTATATTAGGATAAAGCATCTGTCGTGGATATAGTTATTGACGAAGTTATCATTGTGCAATGTTCAGAAATGCAAAACTAGAACAAAATAGATTTCCCCTGTCTCTTAGTTATCTGGCTCCTAGTAATTCGTGATAAAACCATCTTTGAAACTAAACAGACCGCACGACAAATGATAAATGAAAGTATTAAATTCTGCTCACACTTAAAGCCCATCTCAATTTATTTATTCTACAACAAGTAAATTTTTTATGTTTGTATGGGGTTTCTACAATTTATAAAGTCAACTTCTAGAACCAGAAGTAAGCCTGAGCAATTTAGCTGTATTTGAACCAATAACTTTCAGACTAAAAGGCTGACATTCTGCGTTACCACTGCTGTTTCTAAATCTCACGTAAATCACGTAAATATGATTCAAACCTCACTTGTATTCCACTCATAATAAATGGACTGGTGTTTAGCAAACAATCGTTAGAAGATATAGAACTTCCCCTCGTGTAGTTCCACAGAAACACGATAAACATAAAGGCAAAGTATTTCATGATAACAAAACAATTTCATTGTAAACTATTCTCTTGCCTCTTAATAATTATATTCACGGAATTAATATACAAATCATTGTCTATCTTATTTTAAAAAAAACAGAATTCTCAGCAATAACTCCCTGACGAAAATAGAAGAAAATACTTTCAAGGGATTGAATAACTTGGAAATCTTGTAAGTTTATCTGTTTCAAAAATTAATCTACATTATGCCTTTTCACTCTATTCCCAAATGAATATTAGTTGTGTTTATTGTGTTGCAGATTACTTCAACACAATCAAATAAAGTGTTTAAATAATCGAACATTTAATCAAGTCCCAGCTTTAAAGATACTGTAAGTTTGTTTTCATTATTTTTATACACTTCATATTTTATATACTACGATTTAATTAAATATAGAAAACAAACTGTGATTAACTCTAAGAGGAATGAAATCCTAACTAGCACCTAAGAGATGAGTATTCTCAGTTGTGTAATGGTATGAAAAGTGTCAAAAGTTCAGTGATTTCATAATGGAATAAAAGATTCAGATGGGGAAATTGCACTGTGAAACCATGGCGATAGATTTAACAAAGACATTTTATGTTCGGATGAATAAATTCCAGTGTGTGGTGAACAATGAATCGGACGACTTTCTGCTGTCGACTAAGTGTGAGATTTCTGATTTGTATCGAAAATGAAACTTCTGATAACTGATTATTGTGCACATTGATTTGAAATGACTTTCAACTGTATTTAGGAGTTTCATAATTCGCCTTTATATTGATGACCATCTGATAATCAGGAGAGGAAAACAAATCCTTTGACCAGTTCCTGGGACATCACAGTTGCTGGCAGAAACACGCAAACCTGACTGATAGAATTCAGTCTGCACCAAAGAAAGGACTAAACAGATCACACTAGTTACTAGTATCCAATCAAAGTATCCACAACAGTCCTACTGGAGGTCAGTCGCAAGCCTGCAAAGCTCACTGGTGACGTCTCTGACTGCAGCTCTCACTGAGTGACGCAGGTTCGAATCTCAGAAGGGACATGAGTCCCTTCAAGGTTGTAGATACTTCTTGTTGACTGGTGAGTGCCAACTAGCACGAAACCTAGGTAAGGCAAGGCTCCCTGTGGCCAATCGCCTCCAACCATCTAATATCATCAGACCAATGTATACCGTGATGGCCAGCTACTTAGAATGGTAGCCACATTGCAAACCTGATTGATAGAATTCAGCCTGCACCGAAGGAAGGACGAGACACATCACGCTAAGTACTAGTGTTTAATCAAAAGAAAAACAAGCATTTCTTGACAAGTTATGAGCCAATGTAAATTGAATCCAGTGCCGTTTACATCCGATTCACCTCACGAATAATCAATAGATCCGAAATAAATATATGCACATTATGAAGGTTTTTAATATTGCCATGAAAAGTTACTGGATTCATAATGCACTTGTACAAATCTGTCTGTAGAACCATCTACCTATGTATTAGGAAACACTTAACATTGCTCAGTATCAGAGTCCCGAATTATCTGTCACCCGTTATTTACTTGATAAATACACACTTTGCATGAAATTACCTCTCAGAGAAATGTGGTTTCAGGATATGAGCGAAAGGTTATTATTGACTAGTACTTACACCAAGTTGTTTTTCATTAACAGGGTTTCGACTGAGTAAAAAATGAATTTTGTTAGCAGTTCGGAATATATGAAGTACTTAAAATTAGTTCTTTCTATGAGGTTTTTACAGAAAGAACAATAAATATTGTGAGATTTATTTAAAGCTATCAGAATCTAAGTATTACTGAAGGATTGCTGTATCCCTTAAGGCATTGAAATTCTCCTTAAAACAGTCGGCGTCTTCCTAGATACTTGAGCGTCCACTCAACGTCCGTCAGTATTCAACCTGGAGAAAGAGGCTCTCAAAGTATGAATAATTCCGGTCAGTAGGATATTAGAAATAGGCTAATAACTGGTGATCGTGCGTATGGGTAATTCCATAACACGAAATCATGGTTATGGAAACCATGCACAATTAAATTCCAATTGATGAAGTGTTTGAATGGCAAAATGCTTGCTTTGTTCACTTACGTCATCTTCTTGGACGCTTGTCAAGGTAGCTGATCCCTGAAGGATTGTAAATTAAAGACAAGACAGTGGTCTTTGATTTTTCAATCGATACACTCGTCTCTTAATGAAATCTATTTACGAAAATTTCATATAAAATTCGTTCAGCTATTTAATTTGGACTTTTGAAAGTTCACGAAGAGCTTCTCGATGAAAAATATTATCAACAGTGAAATAGGTGAGGGTCACCATACACCCTTCCAATAGTTTAGAATTTCTCAGTCTATATTAAAAAAAACGTCTATTATAATGTGACTATAACTCACGAATAGTTATTTTCGAACTTTAAATGACATCTGCAGAACCATAACACCAGTAAGTCACTCTCACTGCTAATTTTATCTCCTTTTGATTACAAATAAATACGGTCAACTAACACTTTGCACAATTATTTAAGCATAAGGGTTCACTTCTCTTGCGTCGATGTCACAGTGGTTAGGACTCACGCTGACCATGCACATGGTCCGAGGTTCGATCCCCTGCCGGCGCACACTTGATATCTATGGTCGGCCTGCAAAATTTGTGCCAGCGATATCACATGCTGAAAATTCCATAGTTGTACCAAAAATACGGTGTGGAATCAAGCTGTAATAAAAAACTTTTTTCTAAATATTCATCACATTACTAAACGATGTCATACATACAACATCTGGCAATCAAGAATCACATGATAACTATCTCGTTTTTCATTTAAAGGCTCCTCGGGCAACAAGTTCACTACATTAACAATAAGCCAATAAATCTGTCAGAATTTAATGTTCTGTGGTTTCCATTTTCTGTCAAGCTCTTCTTGATGCTCAGCTGATGTCAGTTTCTGACCAAACTAACTTTGAATTCACTAAAATATGGAAAAATCCATCAATTAACTATATTTATATATCTTTTTAGGATGCTTAATAACAATAAATTAAGATGCATAGCCAAAGGGATCTTTACTGGGCTGAGTCTTGAATCACTGTAAGTTTGATTTGGTTAATTTTCATTTGTCAAACCATTTAACGAGGTTATTAATTTATATAATCTTGTCCTCATGACAAATCATTTTTTTCTCCTAAATATCACATTGTTTATGTAACATGAATTAATGGTTTATTTACTCAGAAATCTCCCATGCTAAGCTTTTAACTTTATCCTTAAACAAATCATAAGATGCTTTAAAAATTGGAGTATTAGAAAGGAGACTTCTGACTGTTTGAAATAGTGTACAAAGTGCACACCTTGAGGTGGAATAACACAATGGTCTTTAGCTATAAAAATTGTAGTATCTGCTCTGTATCCAGTTTGAATTTCACCGCTGAAACGGAATAAATCGGAATTAACAAGCGGTTTAAGGAAAAAGGCAGAGAAGTCACCTTTCAATGTGTGCAGAATTACAAGGTCCTGAGAACTAAGATGAGGACGCATCGTTAAAATATTGTAAAAGGTTTCAGTCTCATTGTCCTTACTATATCCTTTTTCCTGTCATCTAGAAGTCCGAATTTCCCAAACATGGTTTTCATTTTCCCGTAACCGTGTTTATCTTTAGTTAACATACTCCACTGAATTAAGTAATAACTAAGTCAGACAAGGGGACAGTTATTCTTCTGAGATATTGTCTGACAGTCAGGTCCCAGTGGCCGAATGATCGACGAGCTCGCCTCGTAACCGGAAGTTCCTGGGTTTGAACTCCAGTGTATGAGTTCATTAAAGAGTCAAAAGTACACGACAAAGGGACTTGAGAAATTAGCATAAAAAGTGAAATAAATTGTACATTAAGGACAGATAGGAACATTACAATGTTAATTCTTACTTAGTATTTAGACTATGAGTTCTGTAGGGATTTGGATTAGTTTCAATGAAAATTACGTCACTAACCAACATGAGTTAGAGAATCAGGGAGCACTGAACAGATGTTTCACCCTATTGTAGGACTCCTCATCAGCGCGCCTGCAGGACCTTCAAGTAAACTAAAGATCTGTTGGCATAAATTAAGCATATCAAAGTCAGTTTTGTCTCTTACCAATGTATTAACTTATATATTTTAACATAGACTTAAATAGTATTTTCTCTTCTTCATTCAATCGTAAACAAACAAACAACCAAATCGTTAATCCCTACAGAAGTTTAAGTGCCAATCCATTTAAATGTGACTGTCATCTCAGTTGGTTACCTGATTGGCTGAGAAATAATGCGAATCAAGTCAATGAAGGTCCATTGCCACCTGTATGTATATCATCAGAAGATTTAGCTGGTACACCAGTGGCTAGTTTATCACGTTATCATTTCACGTGTAATACATCCATGTCTAATTGTTTGAATAATGAAAATTATAATGAAAATGATGACAGGACAGTTCAATCAACAATTCATGCGTACTGTAGCATAAAAGAGGTGGGCTGTTGTGAAGAAATACAAGGTAAGCATTCCAATGTCTCTACTACAACTTTTTATGCATTATTTAGAATACTGTTGGTCAGTAGTGACTTTACTGAAATCACACATTAGATATTAGAATTGATTTTTGTAATATATTGTACTTTTGGTTGATTATTCAGAAGTAAGAAGATGCCTACACTTTCATTTCTATACGCATTAGATGAGCTTTAACAAGTTCTCATGGTGTTTAATATCCCTTTTAAACTCTAAACGAAGCAGAACAACTCCTTAGGAAGTTGTGAAATACAGTGTGCTTAAGTATTGAATAAGTGACTTATATTGTATTACATTCTAGTGACTAGCTTGTAATCAACGCAATCCCTGAGAAGACCAACCACGAACTCTTTTTTTTAATTCCTTCACGTTCTCAGTGGAACATAGAGTTTCAATCTAGAGGCTTGAAGATTCTGTAGCCATGTTTATTTTTACAGAATGGGGTTGCTAGCCTCATGCCCAAACTTTCCTCTTTGCCACCTTTTATTTCCGGCTTAGCAAGGTAAAGGAGTGCGTCGGCCGGGGATCGAACCCTGGACCATGCGCATACTCGGTGAGCACCCTTACTGCTGTGCTACCGACGCACAACCACTAGCTTCATAGTACAAATATATTAAAACTAATTACGGCGTTGAACTGTTTGTCATTAATGGTATTTCATTCTTTGAATCACATCAGGTATTTGGATTCCTGTGGCTGAGATAACTGAGATAATCAATTGAATAACTTTAGTAAAGTGCTCTTAGTTCTGGTTTGTAGTAATTATTACTCTTCAATAATTTATTGTCCCTCCATTTATGTTTCCTCGGTTTTAATGTCTTTTATATGCTTTCAGTTTCATTTCGACGTGTAACAGATTATATCCCTAAGGATTCATATGTCTTAATTTGCTTTTTTTAACAAAGTGCAAATGAAATAAAGTGACTGGAGTTCTTACATATTTTTGTCGTTCTTGTCGATATACCCCCAAAAAAGATTCAGTGCTAGTTTATATTTGTCTGACAAGCATTTCTTGTTGATAAATCTTCGGCGTACTCATCGAACATATTCATGATGACTTCACAGTTAATATCTTGATTTACACACTTGTTGAATGTTTCATCTTTCAAGTTTCATACTTTAAACAAGATATTTTAAATTCTTTGAAGCATTATTTTAAAATATTTCGAATGCGTTCTTAGTTTTTCAACCAATTCCGCGATCATGCCTAAAGTACTCTGGTCAAGGTTAAATCTTACTGATTGACATTTGTACTCCTTGAGCATTCCTCATTCTTGACGCCTACATAAGGTTAATTGATTGCATAAGCCTTGAAGAAAAAATATCAGCAAATGTTTTCCACCTGAAAAGTAGTACTGAATACCACTTTCAAAGTTAAGTTTTAAGTTATTCTTGGTAAAGAACATCTTGGACATTCAAAAGTATTTTAAAGTTCTTTATAAAAATCATTAACTTCAGTTTGAAAATTCTAATACACTGACAAGATGTAAGTGGATAAATTCTTTAGACTATAAAATATAAAGTCAAGACATACGGGTTAACATTCCGTACGTCTTTCCAGTACGTATAATTAATTAGCGGTGGTCCTGTAGTAGTCAGTTTTAGCGAAGTGTTTGCTTACAACTAATTGAAAACTTGCCATATTAATGATAAAATTCAAGAATATAAAAAGCGTTTCACTGTAATGTTCCAGCTTGCTAACTCCGATCTCTTTAGTCCTAAAAATGTAATTTTAATAGAAGAGCCTATTTTGAAAGATATAATATGTTTTGCAGTCTGTTGTTATTGACTTTTCGAATAAATAGTAGAGTTAGTGGTTCAAATAGATTGTTAATTTTTTTAATAATTTATTCACCAGATGAAACCTCATGCCCATCACACTGTCTGTGTGGAACTGATGGTGTTTACTGCTCGGACAGAAATCTAACTGAAATTCCTGCACATATTTCTCCAGAAACAACTCAACTGTAAGTTTATTGGGTGTTAAGTATGAATAGATTTGTATTAGTAGTGATAATAACTTGCTGACACCTTTTATCACTAGAATGGTAATATTCTCGTAGTTTGTATTCATTTTTCAAGCTATTTAGCTAATTGTCTGGCCTTTTAACTGACATCTGACTTTCCAATTGTCCCCTATCCTTCTTATTTTTCAGTGTTTTTTTTTCTATTTTTTCACGTTCCCAGTGGAACATTGAGCTTCAAGCTAGAGACTTAAAGTTTCTGTAATAGTGTTTATTTTTACAGGATGGGGTTGCTAGCCTCAAGCCCAAACTCTCCTCTTTACCAACTTTTTATTACTGGCTTAGCGAGTCAAACGGGTGCGTCGGCCAGTGATCGAAACCCGAACCATGTGCATGATCGGCGAGCGTCCTAACCGCTGCGTCACCGACGCACAATTTTTCAGTGTAATGGATTCATATCAAAATACGTATTAATTACAGAAGATTCAAACAGATATTTAGCGGATCTTTTTGATTACAAAAGTCTCTCATTGAGATGTTAATTTTTAATTGTTTAAAGAGTGTGCAAACAAGAATGATGCATGAAATTATCCAGAAACACGATATTTAACATCATTCTATTTAAGAATGTTTTACATCAGAACACTCTAAGAAATTCTCTGATGAATAATGGAAAACTTTTTAATTCCAGTTCCCTTATGTGAAATAACCATCTGTAGGATCACAAGGATAAATTAAATTTTTACCTCAGTAGTATTCATGTGTAAACAGACGTGATACCTCCTTAGCCAAATTCAAAATCTCTGGTTGTTTCAGATATTTTTCGCTACTTAAGCTTCTGCATTTTTTCTAGAGGATTCAACGTATTATCCACACAAAAAGAAGATTAGATTGCAGAAGTGTGTAAAGTTTCACCTTGGTGACAGTAATAATATAGAACAGAATGACCCTCTAGTAACATTGACTTTTGTTAAGAAAACCATCTTTAATTATGCTGAACAAATTCTTCCCTCTGTTAATCCAAAACGTTTACCCGGTTTAGCAGTATCAGTCATATTTCATTGGATAGTGAAAGGCAGACAACTAGTATTGTATGTTCTTTTTGTATTAGTCATACCTCACTACTAAGCTGTATAACATGCAACTCTTCTGTCTTTGCGTGTGTACACTACATGTGATTATTTTTATAAAACTCCTTTTTAAGTTATTGTTAAAACAGTTGAATCCACAAATATTTAAAACACACCTGATTTTCTTTTGTCTTCTATTCACTTATATGTCTCTAGGTTAACTAGTCAAAGTATATCATTGCTTATCTTTGAAATAAGTACTTCATTTTTATGTTTTACGACAATAATAAATTATATGACCAGTGAACTATTTATTGATTAACTGCCTAGTGTCTAAAGTAAACATCACATGTTTCACTGTTGAACAGCAGTGAATTACTCACCGGATATCTAGTTCACACTGTCGAGATAACTAATATATGTATATGTGTATTTCATATTCTCTTCTGTTTATCCTTTTAATTCCATAGTTTTGATGGCAACAGATGGGGTTTCTTGTTATCAGTTTGCATATGGGCTCTAAGATGAAATACATTCGCTTAGACTTTGAAATCAGGCACTGTCGTCTGGGGATCATCAATGCTCAGTGAGTATGTATACGAAAAGAGATTAGGCAATTCACTACAGTAAAATGTACAGTGAACAATAAAAAATAAATAAAGTGCGTCGGTGGCATAGCGATTGGGGTGCTTTCCTACCATGCACATGGTCCGGGGTTCGATCCGCGGCAGACGCACACCTGACATCAGTGGTTAGCCTACTAAATTTGGGCTACCGATATCTCACGCTGAAAATTCCATAGATGTACCAAAATTACTGTGTGGAATCAAGCTGAAATCAAATTAATAAATAAATAAACATGTCTGATCTAGAAGACAAATTTTAGGTGTTTCAGCTGCTAGGTGGTGTTTAATTCTCAACGTGAAAACTATCAGTCACTGACGTGAAAATGTATTTAGCTTACAAATCCCAAATACGGGGTAAAACGTTTTAAGGATTTCTGTTCTAACCTGATAAGTCCTAATAATATTTCACTAGCTGATATAACGAATAATTTCTACAAGATGCTGGTTGCTTATTTTTAACAAAAGCGGTTATTTCTAAACTGTTTTAACGTCCACTTATATTTCAGTCGTACGCGACGACTTAGTTAAACTTTAATTTTACTGTATACGGTAATGATGGTGGTGGGCCATTTATTAGTTATAATTAAAACAACGGGTTTTGTTTCATGGATTACATCTCCGACGAGAAACTGATTTTCAATTAAATAGACGGGATAATTCATACAATGGAGGATTCTAGTTACTTTCATGATAAGTTGTTACTTACTACTCCAGTTCTTTGAGTACTGTAGATATTGTCATGTGCTAATCAGTCTATTATTAACTTGGTACACATAATGAGGTATAAAATGCTACGGTGGTCCAGCAGTAGACTGCTCGCCAACTATGCACGTAACCCGAGGTTCGATCCATAGCTGACATAGTACTAAAGCTTATTTATCCAGTAGCAAGCCCTGTGAAGAGAGTTCGGGAGAGAGGTTAGCAACTTCACTCCTTAAAAAAACGCCACTCCTACTGAAACTTCAAAGTCCAAGCCTAAAGACCTATATTTCACTCAGCAAACAGAGGAATAATATGTAATGAGGTATGAGGTAAGTTGAATAAAACAGCATCGTAACTTACACTGTCCTGATGAAAATTGTTATAATGATCTGAGTTACAGTTTAAAACTCGTCTGAACTAATCGAGAAGATATCTCATGACTAAATCCAAAATTTGCAATGAATAAGGTTAAGAACTGTACTTAAAAACATTACTGTTAGTTCATTAGGGTTACAACATAATATCTATGAGGCTGAAAAAGAACCTAATCTCTTCACAGCCCGATCAAAATTCATTGAATCCATTTTCTATAGTTGGTTTGTAAGGATCAGATTTGTTTTACGATTTGATCATCGACTGATATCAGTTAGAGAACCATTGAAAACCAGGGAGTACTGGATAGCTGTTTCATCCTAGTTTGGGTGCGTACTACCGATGATGCCCAAACTAGGATGAAACAATTGTCTAGTACTCCCTGGTTTCCAGTGGTTCCCTAATTGATATCAATCCGTGATCAACTCATTGAAACCATATCATGTTTAAAGCATAAATAATAGGCTTTTAAGGAAGAGGATTTGAAACTTTTGAGGTTCACTGACTCTAAGACAACATACATATTTATGACACATTCACACCTGAATTCATGTGAATGACCTTCATAAGAGAGGTTTAATCGTCTGAAAAAGTCGTTTTCGTCATGTTGTTTCCTCCCAACTGGTTGGTTTACTGGTGGAACTGTCCAAGTTATGAAAGGTGGTACACTCAACTATCCAGGTGTTTTCATCTTTAGTCAGAATTAACATCATATTCTAAATAACGCCTGATTTATGGTATTTTATATTTTGAAGTGACAGCTGATTACCGCTGGCAAAACACAGGCTATTTTTAACCTCTGACGAATGATTACTATCAGCCGTGTAACCATAACAACAAAAATACGTAACATTCCATTATTCCGCGTTTTTTCCATATCACATCAGTATTGACATTGTTTTCAATTTTCTCAGTCTTTTAACAATTAAAGATGCTGAAATATTTTGTGAAACAATATAAAACTATATGTATACTGTCAAAGTATCATGGGAACTTCTGCTCATTGTTTGCTTTGAACAAGAATAAAAGTTTACGGGTCTACGTATTTTCTGTGGCATCCTATTTGGTAACTTCAGAATATTTTCTCCGGTGTAAAAAACTGAATTAATAACACGGAGTTATATATTAAGGATTGAATACTGAGAGGTGAATGTGGAGATCTTCAGAGCACAGTGAGTCTTTCTATGACTGTAAATACACTTCGCTGGTGAGTATCAGTGAAACAAGAAATCTAGATCAACCTTCCACAAACTGATGATAAATTTTTGACCAGCCTAGGAAAAAATCAAAATTAAATTCGTCAAAAAAGATTAAATATCCATATAAATTGCAGATAGTCGTAAACGTGACCGATGATTGTGAGGTAAGATGAACGGAAATGGAAAGATGAAAAAGGCGGAAGGTATCAAATGATGGCTTTTGATCATTCCTCAGTACACTCATAACTCGATGACACTATACTTTCTTAAGATTATCTGTCAGCTAAAGATTTGTCCAGTAAAGTACTGGAACAATACAAACAGTCTCGAAGGAAGACATGTATATGGCTTCACCAATCAAAGGTGATTCTCTTCAAGTTTTATCATCGAACAAATACTCAGAGTGGCATTCAACAGAATTTGCTAGCAGCTAAGCTCATATCCATACAAAGTGAAACTAGGCTTCTCCTGTTAACCCTACTGTATTTGAAAGTTGTTGCCAAATTAGATCGTGTTTACCAATATATGTGTATGTGTGGCCACAAGTCACTGAGAGGGGGAGTCAACAGGACACATACCGAGCTGATTGCAGTAGAGTATCGAATCACTTTATTCCAATCACCCTAAAGGTAGATTAATATATATCACAAAGAGTGCTTTAGAAAGCCATCATAAATGCTATTTTAAAACCTCTTTTAAACGCATACATCAAACATGCTTGACGTACATACTTGATGTTACTGAAGTCCTAGACATAAAATGGTTTAAACCTATTTTACATATTCAAAAATTAGTCGTTATTAAACTAGATCTTCCTTGGTAGTCCAATTTCAAGTCCAAAAGTTATTCACATCTTACTTTCTCAGTCTTTCATGTTTTACCTTAACTGTCAACACTTGAAATCCTATCGAACTCAATTTTGACTTGGTTATTGTGTTAACTTTTGTATAAATATGTTTGACAGGTATGTATTCAACTTGAATCCTTATAACGTATCACATTAACAAAGTAATGTGTTAGACTAATCACACCTACCAATTACCTCGTCAAAACAGCTAACGGTAATTTGAGGATGGTTTTCGCATCTGGACTTTGTCAGTAATGAGTTATTTCATGGGATAACTTTTGTTTTCACTCTTTCGTTTTCTTTGATTGTTTTTTCTATCAGATACTTGGAACGGAACCAGATAACAAAAATTGATCCAAATCGAATATCTCATCTCAAGAAACTTCATACCCTGTAAGTATACAAGTATTAAAACCCTAAATATATTGTAGTTCTTTGTATTGCGCTAATGCGAATCAGCTGGATTAACAATAACAGTTTTGAAATAATGTCAACTTTAAGTGCAGTGTCTCACAAATTTTTTCTAGTCCAGGACTTCTGAAGTATATGCACTCATCTTGGAATTATCGAGATTTTAACTAGTCTAATAGCTTGATAACAACTTACAGATCACAGTTGACTTTCCTCTAGATGGAACTTCCTAAGTTCTTGTAAGAATTAATGACCTATACGATTGTTTAAACTGAGAGCAGCTGACGATGCTAAGCGAAGTTTAACTTAACGACAGAAGTTATAAATCATGAAGCATTTGAGTTCAAATGATCTAGTCAATGACTGATAAGCTACTCAACTCAAAGGGTGAGAAGGTTTGGTTCGCTTCATCTTCAGTTAAATGACGCATACTTGTGAAGAGTCGTAGTCGCTTTAAGCTCTTGGTGAAATTAAATTTTATGCCACACAAATCCGAACAAACATAAAGCATGTTGTTTAACTCCGAAGGACTTAGTTATCGAGAAACTGCGATCTCGTCACTGCGATGAATCTAGACAAATCGATGAAATACAGAATATTAGCGCAAAATTATGTACTACTAATTAGTTGGGATGAGTAGTTGAATACCACTCATATCAACCGGCTGTGACTTCTAGTCACATAGAAGTGATCTTAATACCGAGGGCCGGGGGCATCAACCGTGGATCCGGTGTGACTCAGCTCAGAAAGCCGAATAAATTTAAATCAACCGATTACTTGGATGAACCCGTTCAATTATAAATCAGTCTGACACAGTTCGACGGGTAGAACTTCACCACAGTTTTATGCAAACATGCTTGCTTTCTCAATTACCGTTTATAGTATCAAGCAGATCACACACTGTGCCAGGAATAATTTGGTTTCCAAACGGAACTATGGTGAAATTCCTCCCCTCAAACTGTCTACAATGCAAATTGTGAATTTGAAATACAGTTTAGGCATCACCTAGCCTGCATATTTATTATATCCTACTTGGTGTTCAAATATTCAGTGTTATATTGCTAGTGAGGATAATAACAACGGGAAAGGTTTCAAAATGACTCTTGAGTGTTCTGTTTCTCCATTGTCATTTCGTAGTGTGTCAAGTATATGTCCATTATAACAAATAAGATAAATAGATAGAACTAAAAACATATTTTTCTAATCTGATCGTCTATTTATTGTTCCACTCTACTATAATCTCATATTTCATTGAATGAAAACTGAACAGCTTACAAACTTACCAGGTGGGTTTATTTGCTCAGTTTCAATTCTAGAAATGTAATATTAATTCGTAGATGATTGGCTAAATGCTAAATGCTAAACACTCATTACAACGTTAACTAATATTATATTTCACAGATGGAAAGATTATACTGTGCTCTTCAAAATGTTTTCATAGTTAAAGTTGACAATAATGAACGAGTTGAATGAGTCACAAATACACAATGAAAACAAACATTGGAATAAATTTCTCTTCATTGTTTTATGCCACACTTACAAGTTGAATGTAAACTTTTACCAGTGAGTAGACAAATTATTAAAAGTCATGCTGAAAACAAGTGACTCTTAACACGATACAACCAAAAATTTGGGTTATTTGAAAAAAAATTATTACATTAGAGTGATTGTTTTAGGGTTTAAAACATGCAAGATTTTGTCACATATCTTACGGATTGGTGTTCTCTCTCTCTCCAGAATCGCAATAAATTAAATCAAGCTGAAATGGGGATTTGCTCAGTTTTGGAAACTTGTTAGTAGCATGCATTCATGACTAGTTATCAGTCTGCTCTATAGATCTTATTCATTGTGCTGGATACACAGAGACTTGAGTCTAGGCTTTATAAATTCCCCATCATATAAATTATGACCATAGGCTAACACCACTGTTGAAGACATCTTTGCAGACCTGGCAGATTTAGCTTAGAAATTTCAAAAACTGGTAATTAACAGAAACGAAACAGCTTTCTGTTTGGGCTATGATTCCTCATGCCCACTTCAATAGGTTCACAGTTTCCTTGTCGATTTAGGTTTATTAACTTTAGTGATCTGGATAGATAAGTAGAATAAATCTTTTAGTAGGAAAGCTCAGAAGTACTCCAAAAGATTTCAGTCGTACGCAATCTCACCACGAAATCCTCTGGATTTTTGTAGTATTTAATGTGTGAGGAGAAATAAGTATAAAACTTGGGCATTGTGGTATGGTATAACTTTAGTAACACTACTTTCATAGAATAAATGAAATGACTTTACTTAGATTCATTTCAATGGCGTTAATCAGGTATTCATGGGATCTAATTGTGATGTAAGGTAGTAAGGTTAAGCATTATTTTAAGGTGAGAAGATGTAACTAGTCAAATGTTTCAGGTTTCGTATTTAACTTCTGAGCCATTTCTATACTCTTGAGTCTCAAACAATCAGTTGAATTCACAACCAAATAGAAGAATTTTATTTACATGAATGTAATCGTTTAAATGGACTTTTAGATTAGTAACAGATGTATTTGTTTTCATCTTCCCTCGGATTTCAAATAATACTTATAGTTCTACCTTTTGTTCATTTTTTTTTAAATTTCAGAGTTTTAAGTTATAACAAACTACGAGAATTACCGCCACGTGTATTTGAGAAACTAACCAATCTTAAGACAATGTAAGTTGATTACTTTTTAGCGCCTGATACCAATTTAAACTCAGTAAATGATAAATTTGTAGGAATAGTCTGATCCTACAATAAAAGCCCACTGGTCACCACATTTCACATCTTGTCTTAGTATATTCTGAAGATTATTACAAAACTGAATCCTGAAGTCGGAAAAATAGATGATTGTCAGTCTTTATGACAATGTTAAGATCGACATCAAACAGTCACCTTATTTTTCATGTAAATTTTAGCAGAATTTATTACTGATTAAAAATACCCATTAAACTTTTTCAAAAGAATATTCTTTACGATAACTTCATCATCAGATTCTACACTTCATACATTTTAAGATCTGTTAGAAATTTACTAGCCTCTGGCATGCGTTCAAGTTCTTTCATAAGTTCTATCTGTTTCTTCTGTGCTCTTCGTTCACTAACTTGAGTAACGTATTTCATAAAAGGCGTTCTAAGATCTTCTGACAGTTCATCTACTGCACACTGTCAACTGGCAATATCCATTTCATTCACTTGTATACATGTAGATAAAGAGTCCATTTGGTTTAATGCACACCGTTTCGGTGTCTTCTTATTGTGATGAGCTCTGCTTCAATGAAGCGAATTGTAATAAACTTTAGGATAGTGATTTCGTTCGATGCACTTGTTAAATTAAACTCAAAACAGCCTTGGTTTATTGGGCATTCTTATCAGTTAAAATATTGTGAGCCGCCTGTAGCGTTGGAAGTTTTCAGTGAGTACCTGAAGTATAAGTCTAAGCTCCATGAAACAAAGGCTGCTCTGGACTTTATTAATAATTGCATCCAGTCAAACCACTATCCTAAAGTTTATTACAAGTCTCTTCGTCGAAGCAAAGTTCACCCCAATAAGAAGACACCCAAACGATGTGCATTAAACCAAACGGACTCTTTATCTACATGTATACAAGTGAATGAAATGGATATTGCCGGTTGACGGTGTGCAGTAGATGAACTGTCAGAAGATCTTAGAACGCCTTTTATGAAATACGTTACTCAAGTTAGTGAACGAAGAGCACAGAAGAAACAGATAGAACTTATGAAAGAACTTGAATGCAAGCCAGAGACTAGCAAATTTCTAGCAGATCATAAAGAGTACGAACTGTAGAACTTGATGATGAAGTTATCGGAAAGAATATTCTTTGTTCACTAACCATTAGACTAATTTGACAATAATAAATCAGCTAACTATTACTATTCTTGAAATAAATAACTTGAAAGTAAACACTACTGATGGCCACAACTTCGTTTGTTAAAATCAACACTGAGGGACAGATTCTCTACTTTACTGCCCCCCCCCATATTCTAACCGAATGACTCATGAATAAAGTTTTCCTCACAAAAATTAAGTGATCGTAGACAAAGCACAGAAAGCTGCATCCGACTAAGAATTAAGGACTGACAGATTCTCAGAAGTGTGTTAACAGATGTCGATCTAAAGCAAGCTGAAAGTTCGTACAGAATAACGTTTCATCTTCAACCTAAGTGAAATTAAATAATTAACCCAGTGATTAGCTGAAAAATAATGATCACGTATTTTAGAGCTTCTGTTCTTTTTCCTTTATTCTTGCAGAATTTGCAAGCCGTTTGTACATAGAATGTACTAGATCATGTGTATAGATACACTTCTGTGTTTGTCAGATTGTTTGCAAATGAGCAAATAACTAAAATCCTAAGAATTTTAAGTTAATATTTTCGTGCTTTTGAAAGAAACACATACTGCTGTGTGTACATCGTTCTATCATTATTACTTACTTTTTTGTTTAAGTATATGCTGCTGAAAATATAAATTTTTTGCAACACAAATTTTAGTGTGCAGGATGATTCACGTTTTGTCCACTATTATACGCCCATCTAGACAAAATCTTAGATATAGGTTGTTTACACACTAAAAATGAACCGATCAAGTAGATATGCTCTATCAGTTTGAGTACATTCTGTAAATTCATTGGTCAAAAGATGGATTTTCATATTTTTTTGTATTGAATTAGTTGGAGGTTTTCCTGCTGAAAAGGAGGGAAGGATATTCTGTATGGTAGATACTCAATATATATATATACGAAATGTTTTTGGTATTGTGATGGAGTGCACTCACCTAAAAGAGACAGTGTGGGATAATACAACTCTATAATTCAGACTAGGAAAGAGTGTTCATATCAAATGCTTAGATTTCGAAGACGTTAAAGGTAAAATTCATGTATTAAGTTACTTTTATCCGTCAAGGTAAGGTTGATGAAATTTACCATACACAAGACTGGCTGAATACAATTATCGAAAAACTCCTAGATTAGTATAATATATAATGCTCAGAAATGGTACTTCTTGTATTTGCAGTAACAGTTGACTCTTTTCTAATGATTATTTCAGTGTCCTTAGCTACAACAATTTACAATGCATCCATCCAGAAGCCTTCTATGGTTTAGCTAATCTTCGCGTCTTGTAAGTGTTTGAATAATTTTTTTCCGTCGACTTTAATTTATAAACCTCCTTTTCGTTAACATGCAGTTTGTTTAAATAGTAAAGTTTTTCATTACCGATGTGTGTCAGTTAGGGAATCATTGATAATTATGCAAAAATATACATCTGTTCTGTTTTCGTTTATATCTTTTCAGAAAAACTCATTTCTTGTATAAAACTGACCTATAGAGCAGGAGAACATATCACTAACAAGAGATTATCATTCACTCAGTGGAATGGAATCGAATTACCTGTGTTCTTTAGGCTTTGCTAATATATGATGTTTTGGCGGCCTGCTCAAATCCCTAGGCTACCTAAATTTTCTGTCAACATAAATACATTTTGTTTAAACCATTTCATATTGCTTTAATCGCTCTGTTATGTCTAAGAATCGCAATAAATACTTAGACACACTCTAAAATAGGTTTCAACTTACTGCAACCAGTTTTCCCGGGGAAATGGAAGAGAAACAGTGTGGATCTTTAGAGCATGAAACAAGAATAGAACTTTGAGCACTGTGGTAGAATATAATTTCATTATGGAGGAACTTTTTATTCTGGTAAAGTCTCACATTGGTGTTAGATGGTTGGAGGCAATCGGCCACAGGAAGCCTTGGACCTAGGTTTCGTGCTAGTTAGCACTCACCAGTCAGCAAGGCGTATCTGCAACCTTGAAGGAACTCATGTCCCTTCTGAGATTCGAACCCGCGTTATGGCCCGTGATGGCCAGCTAGCTAGAATGGTGGTCACATTACAACCTGACTGATAGAATTCAGTCTACACCAATCAGAGAACTAGACGCATCACACTAGTTACTAGTGTCAAATCAAAAAGTCTCACATTGTTATATAATAATATTTACTGATCATGTTCCGAGCACAAATTATTGCTCATAATCATATCAAAGTGTTATGATATAGATTTTGAGTAATAAATTGTGCTCGGAACATCATCAGTAAGTGTTACTGTATAAGAAATTCTGTCCATAATAGAGTGAATACCTTGCAGTAAGAAATTTTCTGAAAATTCTTCATTATGTATGAACGCATTTTTTTCATAACAAAGCTGTTATTACCATATGCAACAGTGAATAATTTGAAATGTCCTCTAGAGAGCTTTTAAATATTGAAAGATACTAGTTTATAGTAACCTTGTTCAACTGAGGATACAAACCAAGAGCTGTTCATAGATCCATCACAGTTTCCCCATTTCTATCCTGCATTAGGTTCTTCAGTTGATCAAACAACTTTCCTTCAAGTGACGAAGAAATAAATCAAAAGATATTATTAGAAATGTTAGTTAGAAAGTAATCAGTGTTTGTAAATGTCCAAAGTTCGTTAATCGTAATATTTAAGTCATGTGTGCAATGAAGTCATTGAATTATTGAACACTGTAGTGTGGTTCTCAACATCGAAAGTAAAAGATTTTAGAAATTTACGTTACCTGAATATTAAATGCGTTTCTATGTTCAGAATTAGGGATTTAGGCAGATTTTAATAAACAATGTGAAACACATTATGAACAAGAATATATGCTACAGACAAGTTCGACTTTAGGACATCAGTTCCGCCAAAACGTCCATGTTGTATTTTATCAATAACTAAAAAATGAAATTGGATGGTTCAGTTCCTACAAGAAGATTAAAACCAGTCCTTAGAATCGCAGTGAAAATGCGTCTTCACATTTAGGTGCAGCATAGTAATTTGTTTACAAAACCATCTGAAGAGTAACTGACCTGTAGGCTACCAGTGTAGTACATTATTCGCTGAGCAATGAAGTACAGTTACCTACAAAATTCAGTTAAACGTGATATAACTAGTTCTTCTTCTCTTCCAACTTATTGAAGGTTCACATTAACGTTGTTTGATGTGTTGTTACTTTGTCAACCATTTATTTTTACAGAATACTTCAGGGGAACAACATTTCTACTATACCGTATGGTACATTCAATGATCTTGGCCAATTAAACAATGTGTAAGCTGTTCTGCTTTACCCTTTTGTTATTTACCTCCCTTCACCTATCCCTGTTTCAATTTTAATGTCATACACAACAGGAAGAGTGTCTACATTGTTTGATTGATACTAACGAAACGTACAATAGTCAAAAAAGTATCTTCGAGTAATTTCTGATGCAGGTATCACTGAATGCATAAATACATGAGAGAACAGATTACACTTCTGCACAGTGAATTAGTAAATACTTTTAAATTTGTGGGTATGTGTATGAGTGTAATAGGTATACAAATGGAATGACGCTTTAAGTTTCACAACATGTGTACACAAATAAAATACAGGCCTGTAAATTATCATAACTACTACTACTATCAAGTGTAATAGTAATACCAAATTACTGAATAGAATTTACCAAGTCTAATAAAATTGTTGTAAATAACTATGCTGTAGGTCTTGTCTGTTTATGATATTTTGCTAAGTGTGTTTCTTCTAGATCATCGTAAATTCAGTTTATGATTTATAGTGTTACCACATTTACTGTTATCAAATACACACACATAGTATGAGAAAGTCAACCTTATGATACACTGATACCGAAGTAGTTGTTTGAAAGCAATGCCACATTGTGTTGTGACTATCCTGATCAACCGTATTTACCTGTTAAACTATTCAGAATATAGCTCATAATTAAAAAAGCATTAATTTATTTCCACCGCTTTAATTGTTATCACTGACCAGTTTGTTGTGTGGCGTTAGTTGTATTATGGTGTTCTGAGAGCTACGGATTAAGGCCTCTAGTCTGATTCCAGACTACAATGTGACAACGATTTAGGAAGACCAAAAATGTTACTGACTGACTTATGTAGTTAAATGTAGCTTTGTGAAAAAATACTGAGTCGTTTCTAGTCGCCTCACTTCTAGACACAACATGTAGGAATGTAGAGAAAAGATGTAACCTGACTACAAGTGAAGATTAGTAGACATTTTCCAAAACCAAAGGGAAAACGAGAAGTAGATATATCTACAGCTTTTTACAATGATGATGATGATAATAGCTTTATTCCCAAACAGTACTTGCTATACAGAATGGAATTCTCACCATTTTACTACAGTATTACATCCAGTTGGTAAATTAACAATAAAATAAAATTCTACATTGATTAAGGATAATCTCAGTTAGTTTTGACAACAACATATTAGCATGTCGTTAGCAAAGCAAAAATTAAACAGAGTGTTTGAAGGTGCTAGAAAAGTAGGTTCTAGCATATTTACTGGCGTAAGCAGAAGAAAGAAACAAAGCAGCACATAACAGAAAAAAAGACAGAGAAAAGGAAAAGAAAGAAAACGTTGTACCTATACACGATATGAGTTGGAAAGACGAGATGCAGTTGTTCTACTGACTAATTAATAAGTTAAAGGTTTCACGCCTAATGCTTTCTTTATTGCACAGAACACGAGCTAAGTAGGGTATAGCTGAGTTTTTTTAATTACTAGTGCGAGCATATAGTTTTATATATAGGCTTCTGGTCTGCCTGCCTGATGAGATACAAGGAGAGAGTTGTAATTTAGACAAAATGGATTTTGCCCATTTTTCACATGAGTCCATGTGCCTGTCAACCAGAATATTATCAAGCTGGCTAAGTGGCACACTACTTACCCTGCTGACAACCTTTAACAGCCTGTGTAATAAGGTATAGTCTTTCTTCAGTAGCCAGCCCAGGAAAAACTAAGGGGAACAATAGAGAATAATAGGCAGGATGCAAGAGTTAATGAATCGTAGGAGTAAGGGTTGGGTTACACCACAATGTCTTAACTTCTTGATGTAGAAGGTAAGACAGAATATTTTCTAAGAAATCATCAAGATCTGAGACGAATAGGAAAGATCTGTAGATAGAATGACGCCTAGATATTTAATTTCCGAGTTGGTTTCAATTTCACTGCCATCTATGTGCACACCTCGTGAGTGCTAACCATTTTGTTAAGGTCAGATTTATGCCTAAAGGTGAAATTCACTGTTTGGCATTTGGAGGGATTTAAGGTGAGACTGTTTTCCTTGGACCATTGGCTGACTTCCGGTAAAAAGCCGTTTAGTTTAGTGCAGTCACTTTGACATTTGACAGGCAAAGATACAGTTAGGTCATCGGCATATTTAACAAAATTAATGTCATTTGAAGATGGTAGGTCATGTAGAAAGAAAGAAAAGAGAAGTGGGGAAAGTACAGCACCTTGGGAGACACCGGCTTCAGCGAGCACAGCAGAGGAGGATTTGCCTTTGTATACGGTATACTGCATTCTGTTTGAAAAGTAGGAATGCAACCAGTTAGTGACCCAGGACTCAGTTTGTGTCATAGAGAGCTTATTTAGCAAGAGAAATCTAGGTACAGAGTCGAGAGCAGAAGTGAAGTCGAGAAACGTGCAGCGGACGTATTTGGCACCTTTATCTAATGAAGAGACAATACTGTTGTGTAAGACAGCTGCAGCGTCTAAAGTACTCCTACCCCGTCTGTAGGCTAATTGTTTGGGGTCTTCAAAGTTTATAAGGGAGGATTCGGGTTTAAGAAGTACTAGTTTTTCCATAAGCTTCAGAAATGGGGAAATGATAGCAATGGGTCTGAACTTTACATTCTTGCTATTTCCAGGTTTAGGGACAGGGACTATTTTAATGTCTTACATACATCTGAGATTGAGTAGGTTGTCTGATGTGTAGCATCTTTGTTGAGCCTTCATAGACAGGTGTGAGAAGACTTTAATATGTGTTTTGCTGTACATTTGTGGTAAAACACAGACAATGCAGTGATCGGAGTTAAGTATCGGTGAACGTCTACGTGTTTCATATACTCCTTCGTCATTAGTAAAAACTAGATGGAGTGTTTTGTCAAGTCGAGTGGGAAATTTGACTATGTTTGTGTGACCAAGTGCTTCAAGAAAGGGGGCAATCTGAGGAGTTGAAATCCCCAGTAATAACGGATAGAGAGTTGTCGAAGTTGGCAGCAGCAAACATGCTGAACTCATCAGCAAAATTGGATAGATCAGATGGAGAGCAACTAGAAGAAATGTACATGTTTGTAACAAAGATTTGTTTATATTTGGAGAGATGTTTGGGACGACATCTAACAGTAATACAGTCTATGAATTCATTTGAGAATGAGAAGCAGATATTATTTGAAATAGACCATTTGGATTGAATAAAAGTTGCAACGCCACCACCATTTTTCTTATTACAAAATTTACGGTCTTGTCGAAATAAAATACAGTCCTTTAGTGAGATAAGATTGTCATCATACAGTTCATGTAGCCACGTTTCTTGTAATGTGATTATGGTAGTATTATGACAAGTGTCAGTGGACATCAAAGATTGTAGGTGCATTATCTTGTGTGGCAGAGAGCGGCAGTTTGTGTTCATTATGACAGGGACCGTAGTTAAGTGTATTGGTGTACGTTTGAGAGCTCTCTGCCAACCGCTACGATGTTTCCTCCTTGGTTTCTTTGGAATATGAAAGTCATTTGGTCGTAGATGATTGATAAATTTACGAGGGTAAATGATTCTGTTAGAATTCATATTTAGGTGATAAATAAATGTTGGTAAACAGTAGACTGGATGCAAAATGTAGATATTATAGTAGCTAGCCCGAAAATTCGAACAGGCCGCCAAGGTGTTACAAAGAGTTTCTAACCATTGAAGACTCTAATCATGCGGTTTGCATTTCTCTATATGGATTAAACCAGCTGTTAAAGACATCATGGATGAGCAGCATGTTCCCGTCTCACCACTTCTCACTCTTTTCTAAACTTAGTCTAGTTTACCTAATTTTTCTGACTTCTCCGTATGTATTTAGTGGTAAAGTGACGTTGTTTGCACGACACGTTGTTGTGAAATTCGTTGACTCTAGCATTGTTTATGATAGAGTATCTGCACAAATTTGGATAGATCAACTTAAATTGTATATGGATTCGATCATATGTTAAACAACAACCCAGTTCAACTCCATAATCCTAACAAATTTGCTTCAACGTCTGTATCTTGTTACTTCTAAGATTTTTCACCCAAGAGTGAGAAGCCAATAAAACACATTGTGTTAATTTTTCTCTTTCAGACAGGTCTTTAACATAAGATGACATCTGTTCAACATAATAGTGGACATATCCCTTTAATTCCGCCCCCCCCCAGATTATAGCTTTTCTCTTGTTTTGTAATTGACTTGAACTTCCATCTTAGAGTATTATTTCTATAGTCCATTTTAAAACACATCTGGATCTCAATTGCATAGGCATATTTTAGACGAGCTGTGATGAGGATATGACCGTATAACTCTACAGATTTATAGTTAATGTATTTGATAATAGTCCGTGTCCTGTTATTTTTGATTACTACTAATCACTGTGACACGATTAGACAACAATTTTAAAGACAAGATATATTTTAACCCTTACTATTTTCCAGAATAAGTTTGGACTAGGTAGCTGAGCAAAATTTTGGAATAATTTATTTTACTTTCTCTGTGATTCATACAAATATTTCTACATTATCATATTTCTGTTTTGATATTTACACTGACAATTATTGTCTACTTATTTCTTAAATAAGTAGTTTATTCATTTAAAACAATAATTAACGACACATTGATTCCACTTTGCAAACTACAGTGCACTCGGGCAAAATCCTTTACATTGTGACTGTACAAGTAAATGGTTAAACAGTTACTTTCGGCAATATTTCTTGGACAATGGAATCTCTTTATGCTACAGCCCGCCAAATATGAGATTAAAATCCATTTATCATTCAAAGTCTTCAGATTTTGCGTGCCCATGGAAACTACAAAACGAAACAAATACAGACATAAATGAAAATGTGTTATACTTTCCAAGTTCACAACCCCCTCTACCAAATGACAGACATAGTCAGTCAAATAATGTTTATACATCAGAGGCTAACCACCATGTGACTGAGAGAGAAAAAGAATCCATTTTGATTGCCGCCAAATGTATGCCATGTTTATTGAATCCATGTTTAAATGGTGGGACATGTTTAGCACTTACACAGTTGGACTACAAATGCTCATGTAAACCTCCGTTTTATGGAAAGAATTGTGAGCAACGAGACCATATTTGCTCAACGAACCCATGTCAAAATGGCGGACTATGCAAAATTACAGCCTACCCAAGTTCATACAAGTAAGTAGCCATAAAAGTATCCACTGATATTTCTCATACACGATTACGCAAACTATTTATTTTATTTTTTTTTTATTTTTTATTACAGCTTGATTCCACACCGTATTTTTGGTACAAGTATGGAATTTTCAGCATGGATATAGGTAGCCCAAATTTCGCAGGCCGACCATAGATATCAGGTGTGCGTCGGCGTGGGCTCGAACCCCGGACCATGTGCATGGTCGGCGAGAGTCCTAACCACTGTGCCACCGACTCCATAGGTAGTTTCTGTGTATTTGTAGCCTAATAAATGCCACCATCTGGAATAGCACACTGGTGATAAGAACTTATTTTTCATGAGGGAAAACGGAAATGACACATCATTTATGGTCGAAACTTCTATCAGCTCTCTCGTCAAAACTTCAAAAATAACAAAGCCATCGAAGGGTTTCCCTTTTGTTTACTGTAAATGATCTCTTATATTCCGGCACGTTAACTAAATTCACCTAAAATGAACGTCTTAAAATGCATGAATTCCAGAAGAAAATCGCAATTAGCCGTTATGTACCTGATCATTACTTCACAGTTTTCATACCTTTTGTCAGAACATCTAGTAGAGCATGACAAACTAGTTTTATGAAGTTTATAGGGAAATCTTGGTTGTCTGGCTTGGATCTCTGATTTCAAATGAGACGTTTGATTCATGATTGTGTTTGATATAGATTAAAACAGATTACAGTAACCAGAAGTATTAACACTCCATAGTTACTTTTGTTAACCTGCTTTATTTTTTATTTATTGTCTGTGAACATTAATGCTTTCATGGATTGGTAATGTAAACGTAGTAGAGAACAAGCAATTTCAAAAGTTTACCCTAATAAAGTGAAGTGTATGAAAAATCATTTAAGCTGTTCATTTGTTGTTTTTGTTATTCAAGCAGTGAGAATATATATATATATATATATATATATATATATATATATATACGATGTGATCCCATGCTTTTTGATTCAACGGAATAATTGTTATCCACTATTAACAAATCACACTTTAAGATAAACTTTCAGAGTGTATTCCTCCACATCGTCACAACGTATTCTGAACGTCTGATACTAGATGGTTGGAGGCAGTCGGCCACAGGTTTCGTGCTAGCTGGCACTCATCATTCAGCAAGGCGTATACGTAATTTTAAAGGAACTCATATCCCTTCTGCGATTCAAACCAGCGTCACAGAGGTTACCGTTGAGCTATTCGTGCTCGCGATTGACTCCTTGTAGGACTGCATCGAATACTTTGAATGAACATTAGTTACTAAATAGTGTCCAATCAAGGTACTATAAATGTCTACTGGTGCCACATTAAAATAACTCTAACTTCAGGATACAATCAGATCATAGATATTGTTAATGGTTATTTTAACCAACTAAGGAATCTCACATACCAGTGAAACTCATAATTTCGCAATCCACAAAAATTATCCACTTTCAGTCACTCGAATAGTCATAATAACCAAACAGTTTAGTGAAGTAAACTTGGAAATAACGATATATAGTGTAATGACTGGCAACATTTCGCGATTGTTAAAAATGTTTTAAATATTCTGAATAATTTTAACGATTTAATTTTTCCATACCACCACGCCAAATTCAGTGCATCATAGAAGTGACTTAATCTGATGTTCACTAACGACTGGCTTTATTCAGGCAGTTAACCTGGAATTCTAGTGTGAAGCCATGACCAGTAGGGTAGAGCAGGTAGAAGATGAGGCAGTAACTCACCGAAGAAGACATTGCGAAATGGTCGCACTCTGTCGTGAATTGGCAGAAGTTAGAATTCAAGGACCATTGGATCGGGTCCCAGTGGATGAATGGTCTACGAGCTCACCTTGTAACCAGAAGGCCCTGGGTTCTAATCCCGGTGGTTGTGTACTGCTGAAGAGTCCCAAACTAGGACGAAGCAGCTCTCCAGTAATCCAGGTTTTGCAGTGGTTCTCTAACTGATGTCATGATGGATCTTCCATACAACCAAACAAAATCCCTACAAAACTAATAATTGAATATCACAACACAATCTATAATTTGTAGGTCATTAGTTTAAATATTAGTAATCGTACACTAGAAATTCCAACATCTCACTCAAAAGGCATGAAACTAGCTGGAGAATATGTCGAAACACTTCTGCACATACGACATAAGTATGTTCCTTATCAAGTGTTCATACACATGTCTTCAGATAGTAGGGGATATCATTTCATAAATTTCAAATAAAATATTTTTAAACGACATTCAGCTAAAACTTTAAATAGATTAAATGCTCAGGTGCAACTTTGATATATCAAAATAAATTATAATAAGATGGCCTTAAATTCGGTAGACTTGTTAATTTGCACATTTATTATGCTACTGAATACACCTTTTAAGCAAGGTAAACAAAGACTAAAAGATTTCTTCAAAATATTTTTATTTATCTTGCTCATTACAGTTTATTGTTAGTAGTTGTTACCACCTGTAAGTTATTTCACTAATAAATGAGCTATCAGTCTATTTTTCATTTAGGATTATTGTATTGTTCATATTTCTATGAACTGGTGACAGATGTTGAATGAAATGCCATATCTAATAGGCTTTTATCTAAACATATTCTTGGATAAAAAGCAGATTATCGACAAATCTTACTGCTTTTTATTACTGCTCAGTGATAAGCTTAATGATGTTGACAATGACAGAAAATTTGGAAATTTAGGCTAGAGTATATTCATGAAACATCAATGGGTACGGACGAAGAATCGTGAGAATTTCTCAAAAAGGCGCATTGATTCACTGTGTTAAGCAGTCTGTGCAAATGAAAATAAGAGGACTTTAGAAGAACAATAAAGAATAGGCTTTTTGAAAGTTAGAAAAGGTATTTACCGGTGTGATATTCAAATTACTTAGTAGAAGAGAAACATCTTTTTGTGGTCTTACTTAAATCTTAGCTTTGCTTTTCTTTGCTACTGCGTCTGCTGTTGTCCTGACAGTTGTAAATAAATCAGGAGAAACAAAAACAGGAGTTGAATGCAAGCTACAACACACTGAACAAAAGAGTAAAGAAGAGTGCCAGGGAAGATAAAAGAGAATAGTATGAACCCATGGCAAGTGAGGCAGAACAAGCGGCAGGTAAAGGAAACCTCGCCACACTCTACCAAACAACTAGGTACCTTTTCTGGCAAAAGTTCGACACAAATTAAGCCAGTAAAGAATGACAATGAAAAGTCAGTCACCAAAGAAGTGGAGCAAAGAAAACACTGGGCTGAACACTTCAAAGGACTTCTAAATCGACCGCCACCTACAACGCGCCCAGCAATACCAACCACAGAAGCAGAATTACCAGTGAACATCAACCCTCCGACGAGAACAGAAGTCCTGAAGACAATCAAGATGCTAAAGGCTGGAAAAGCAGTTGGATCAGATGTAAACCGGCAGAAGCTTTGAAAATCGACCCAGAGACAACAGCGGACTTGATGACGCCATTACTGGAGAAGGTGTGGAAGGAGGGCGAAGTACCGGTGGACTGGAAGGAAGGATACTTTTTCAAACTACCAAAGAAAGGAGACCTTAGTCAATGCAAAAACTGGGGCGGAATTATGCTGCTGTCCATGCCAAGCAAAATACTAAGCCACATCATCCTGGAGAGAATTAAACAAGCCCTAGATGAAAACTTCGACCGGAACAAGCTGGATTCAGGAGAAACAAGTCATGTATTGATCAAGCCGTCACATTATGGATCATCAGTAAACAAAGCTTGGAATGGCAGTCACCTCTCTATCTCAACTTCATCGACTTTGAAAAGGCCTTCGACAGCGTCGATCAAGAAGGGATTTGGCAACTACTTCGCAACTACGGGGTGCTACCGACAGTTATACATCTCATCCAACAGTTGTACGACAATGATGCATGCCAAGTAATACACAACGGGAAACTTACGGAAGCCTTCGAAGTGAGGACGGGAGTGAGGCAAGGCTGGCTACTATCGCCAATGATTTTCCTGATTGCAATTGATTGGATAATGCGACAGACAACGGCAACCAACGAGGGAACAGGCATAAAATGGACTGACACAAAAGACTTGGAGGATCTGGATTTCGCCGATAATGTATGTCTGATTTCCCACAAAACTGGAAGATATGCAAGTGAAAAGCAACAAGCTGGCAGAAGAAGCATCCAGAGAAGATAGGTTTTCAGGTGAACATAGATGAAACAGAGGTGATGAGGATTCCTCGCCAACACCAACAGCAACAACAACAACAGACGACAGTCAGCATAAATAGGAGGAACCTGAAAGAAACAACCTCCTTTACCTACCTGAAAAGCATCGTTTCAACTACAGGTGGACGGAACTGACGAAGATATAAAAGCCAGAGTCGGGAAACCAAGAAAAGCTTTCGTTACTCTCAAGTTTGTGTGGAGGTCAACAGCACTCAAGATGAAAAATAAGATCCTGATTTCCAACTCTAATGTGAAGTCAGCGCTACTTTATGGATCAAAGACATGGTGCGTCATAAAGAGCACTTCAAACAAACTACAGAACTTCATCAACACCTTTCTTCGCTCAACAGCTTTCTCAAGATCCGATGGCCAGAAAGGATCAGCAACAGGGATCTCTGGGAGCTAACCAACCCAGCAAGAACCGATTGTGCAACAAATAACCAGGAAGAAATGGAGGTGTATTGGCCATACTCTGAGGAAACCATCGAGTGACATCACATGCCAGACCATCACTCGAGTGGAACTTGAATGGAAAGCGGCTAGTTGATCGTCACTGCAGGGGTGATATGGAGGAGGTCATGTGAAGAAGAGATGAAAGCATGTGGGCAGACTTTGAGCCAAGTGAAAACGTTGGCACAGAACCGAATGCAATGGAGACGTGTGGCTGAAGCCGTATGTTCCTCTAGGAATTAAAGGAAACAATGATAAATAATAATAATATCAACTGCCACCACCACCACATTCCGAAATCAGGATTCTTAATTACTAACTAAAAGTATGCCACATGTGACCTATATATCCTGAAGTCTAAAGATTGCACCCTTCGGATAAAGGACCTCCAGCACATTAAATGGGATTATTTAGTTACTTCAGCTATTAGATAACTAAACTATAATGATGGTTTTCTTTATTTTCCGCTTTTCCTTCAGATGTATCTGTCCACCAGGTTTTCATGGACCAACCTGTGCTAAACAACTAGAAACTTGTAAACATAATGTTTGTCTAAATGGGGGGACGTGTGAAGCACTGGATAATGATTATCGATGTCATTGTACAACTCTATTTCATGGTTTGTTTAAATTCATTACTTGATAACTTTCATTCTGTATACTTTGTCACAGACTTATGATTGAGCGAGACTGTATTTTCAAACGAAAAGAATAAAGATTTTCTCAACTAAAACCTTAATATAAACACTCATTATATTCACTAGTAGAAAAATTATTAGTAGAAGAATTTACTTTCATTCTTATAGAGAAGATTTGTAGCTCAGGTGGATGATTTGCAATTAACAGTGTTCTCTGAGTGGGTTGGTTTAGTTGTAGAGCTTTCGTCGTCCTTATGGACAACATCTTCAGCGCAATTATATCACTGATGAAGAAATTTAAATCATTTCACTATATGCTAAATATGGCACTGAAGATATTATCCAGAAGGAAGACGAAAACTCCACAACTAAACCAACCAGCTCAGAGAACACCATTAATTGCAAATTACTTTCATTCTGTTAGTTGAAATAATCTTCAACAGACACGTGTGTGAGCTCAGCCGGACTTCCCCTTTTATGAATCATGTTTCTTAATGAAATAACTGAAAATTCAGTTCCGGTATGACTAATACATAATGTTCCTCAAGTTTTGGAAACTATCAATTATGTTTACTACATGATTAGGCAAAATTATCCTAATTTACCTAAATGTTGGTAGTAGATACCTCATGAATTTTTAACTGGTTCTGATTCTAAGTAACAAATCTTTGCTATTATGATAAACCCCTATACGTATAATCACCTTAATAGAAGAAAATATGAAATAATTACTACTTCTGTTGATCCGTAACATTAGAAGTAACACTCCATTATGGATAAGATTTTATTTTGATAAATCACACACAGTGTTGTACAGTTATATTAACTGATGACGTTTCGAGCACAAACTATTGCTCATAATCATATCAAGTGAGCCTCATACCCAGCCTTCCTTCATCACCGGGATTACTAACAACTTAGCGAGGTAACCGTGTGCGTCGACCGGGGATCGATCCCCTCACCACATGTTAGTGGGTTATAACATCTTAAAATTATACTTGTTATTCATCGCTTCGTTCGTTTATTCGAAGATTTTTCTAAACTCGGGTGATTTACAGTAACATGTATTTTTCAGCCTTTATTCAGTAAAAAAGTGGATGGCGTCACAAGGAAGTATTCAAATATTTTTGGGGGTGATACCGTAATTTATTGATTTTTTGTATAAATTTGGGTAGATGTATTGATAGTCTATCCATTCACAAAGTAGGGGAAAGCTGCAACATACCCTTCGGTCTTTTATTTCTGAAGATCACCTTTTTTCATATACTTGTTTTACTTCAAGGATAGTAACTGAGGGAACGAAAAATCGATTACCTCTTCCTTAGAATGATCTCAGTAGCTAGGAGCTTTTCGATACGTAAATCAGCATCTGAACACCTGAATTCAACGCCAACATTCTTAACCATCCTCTACCTAAAAAAAATAGAACTGTTTGAAAACTCCGAATCTGACTGCATTAAACACCTAGTACTGTGCGGGGAAATTTTCATTTGGTGGTGATTTCAATAATTAGTTATAGTCAGTATTTCCCTTTAATGCATAACTAAGGTCAATTGATTTCTGAAGTGGTAGATTTTCTATCTAGTAAATATGAATTCTTTGGTTTTATACATGCACCTAATCAAGATTTATGTGTACTTGATTCATAAAGGTTATGTTGGATTAGTCAATGCTCATTGGTTTTGTATAACATTTATTGTATGGCTTTAAGAAACACTATTCCACATTTGTTAACATTAACTCCAATATACTTTTTGATCATCATTTTAGGCAAAAACTGTCAACATGAATATATCTACTGTGAAGAGCTAAATCCCTGTGCAAATGGAGGAAAATGTATTAGTCTACCGAAGAATAATTACAGGTTTGTTATTTTGTTGTCATCACAGTATAACCGCATATCTCTTTCCTTATTTAGATGTGAATGTTTAGCTGGATGGATTGGAAATGACTGCCAAATCAACCAAGATGACTGTGTGTATAACAGGTGTGAAAATGGTGCCACCTGTATTGATGGTATAAATGAGTATATATGTAAATGCCGGCCAGGATATGCAGGTTAGCACTAGTCATATATGTATATATGTAAAACACTGCTTTTAAAATTGGTACCTTTTATGTTTAACATGCTTAGTGATCAATTTGACAACCTTATTTTTGGGTGGTACAGTTTCAAATCTGATGGAGGATTTAAGTTTCTTGAATATGGCAAAACTTTCTGTCCAAAACGTGAGCCGCAGGAATATATCAGCTAGTCTAAAAGAAGCCCTTTGATCAGTTCTTTTTCTTTTAATTATTATAAGAATAACATAACAAATAATTTACGATGTATACGAAGCCACTTAACTCATAGATATTTACTTGAAATGTAGGCCTACAACCCTGGGACTACTCTTTCAAAGGATTCATCAGTGTTAGCTATACGAAGTGATAAGCAATACTTTTGAAGAACTATAGTATGATCATCCTTCTCTGATAGTTTATGGGTGACGTCACTCTGTGATTGATCTGTGTATGACACAGTCCCACACAATGTCATTTACAGTAGAGTAATTTGATCAGAAAGGTCAAGCGAAAGGATGAATTTTATGGAGGAACTTTTAGTTTCTTTACAATGTCATACAAGTTTGGTTTATAAGCTGTAACATACCTCATCCCAATGTTTAAAGCATCTTTGAATGATGGAAGCGAAAACTACATGACAAACTTGTGCTTTAATATGGCTGGAAGCATAACTCAACGTATGTATCAAGCTGAACCTAAATAGTGCTAGATTATATGTCGTCATAAAGTTCCAAATAAGACCAGATGATCATGGTAGTCCTTTGGTGAATTTAAAACTGATATTTGTCACCCTGGTACAATGAACCACATTATATTGTCATTTAGCTAGGTTGATGACCGCATCACAATCTTTCCCCCTAATCTGTATAGTTAAATCAGTCATCATGTATACACAAAGCGACTAATTGTTTATTTTTCATATTCAAAGGAATTTATTGTGAAAGACCAACTTGGAATCCTTCAACATATGTGACAAGAATGGATAGACCGTTTAACCATCAGCTAATGATTGGACGTACATCTGCTTCTGGTGTAAGACAGTCACCGATAAAAACTCGGTCGCTTGCAACGCAAAATCTTGAAACGCTATGTGCTTATCAACAGTGTCAAAATAACGCCAAGTGTGTTGAAAATGAAAATGATGCTTACAGCTGCGTTTGCCAACAAGGTAAAAATATTCATAAGATGAATTGAATTCGTTTTTCATTTAATTCAGTTTTTTCATAGTACATATAGGATGTGAAACATTTTTAGTAGAAAAATAACTTAAACTATTAGAATTTCAACCATTTCATATTAAAACGTCGCTCTTTAGTGAATAACTTCAAGATGTTTCTTAGAGTTATAATGAGAAGTAGCAAATGGTAGGGCTCATCATGCTGGATGTTTGAACAGTGATATGAAGAACAGTGCCAAAAGCTAGGAACGAGGCACTATCTTAGAATGCAAACATGGATAGGGTGGTGGGTGTGTGCTTGTTAAGTGGAAAAACAGCTGCGTATTGCTACCTGATTTCGCATTGTCCTACAGATGGTGTTCATTCATGATTAGTTTTATCTTGAAAATGATTTAAAAGATAATTATCCCTAGGGACAAGTTGACTATTTTTCATATGGTGAAATTGAAAAACGGCTGATTCTAGAAAACAAGGCATCTATTAGTCATTCTTTTTATTACAACACCAGGTGTGTGGGTGATAGTCATATCAAATTTCTTTGATCAATTTTACAGCATAACAGCTGTTTGTTTATGATCACTAGTGAAGTTCGAGACAGGTTTAGAATCTTTATAGTGGAAACGAGTGAGAATTAGAATGAATTCTCCCCCCTGATAACTCTGAAAGATATTCATACAATACCAAGAACTAATGAAAGTTAGAGACACTCAATCACTAATTTCAAATATAGTTATTGAAACATCATGTTTGTCAAAAAATCTGATAGTGATGAGGACTGTCGGACCTGGATCATCTTGTGGTGACAGTTATCTGCAAGGCGAAATTGTAGACAACAATTTACGTTAATGTTCACGTCCCGAATCAGGGTCATGAGGGGGAACAATAACAAAGCTTAACCTTGAGAAAATCATCAGCCAATCACAGAGGAGTTAAAATGTGGAAATATGAATCAAAGGCATATGGCTTGATTTTTTGAAAAGCCGCCACAGAGAGATGACAGAATATCCTTTAGCAAGAAAACAACCAATCAGAAGGAGTTGCTTCTCCGCTAACAATAACGCTAATAATAATGCACATAAAAATCTATGAATACCTTTTGCTTTTCTTAATAAATGATCTGTTGTCTGGCCCTTGTCTTCTCTCGTTACAATATAACATGGAGAATGCAGTTTATAAAATACTAAAAGAAATACTGAATACCTGATTTGACATTAACCACATGTTGAGAGATTTTAAAATTCCAAATAAATTTCATTACATTATAACTGAATATCGGCATTTGAACATTTTAGAATTTATTCTAAGGCATTGTCATCCAGAATTTTGAAAACCACACAAATATTCCTATTTTAGCTAGAAGACAAGGTGGGGGTAGTCAGTATGCTAGAGCAGCTGTGATACAAACCACTTTTTAGGAGTAACTACATCTAATTTACTGAGTATCATTATGAAGATTAATGTGTTTTTCATACTTATATGAGCTTTTATACTGATTCTAAACTCTTCACTCAGGTTTCAGTGGCCAATACTGTGAGAATCTTTTTGCTATCAATCTACCAAGTCCTCATTCATATGTGGCTGTTGTACCACCAAGTCGAGGTGCTTTAGTGCCAAGTGGAACAATTAGTTTCGAAATGGCTACAAAGTCAACAAATGGGATCTTACTGAATTTCATTGATACAAGTCTAATTAACAATGCAGATGGTACTCCTGAGCATTATTTATTACTGAACCTACACAATGGAAAAATTCATGTTAAATTTTCTTTAAATCGAAATTATACTGCACATAATGTGGATTGTGAAATAAATGTAAGTCGAACTGCTAAAAAGATATTTTTAAACCAACAATTTATCTAAATATTTCTTGGCTGATTTCCATGCAAACTTTGTATATGAAACGATTACTTTTGATATATGTGAGCAACTTGTTCCTTGTTAAAGCACAATTTATTCAGCTGGTGAGTCACGCGAAGGTTATAAGTCTTCGCGTTGTATAATCATGCTATAAACCTGATCGAAGGATGTCAATAAACACTACTGTCTAGCAACGTTGACATTGGTTACAGCTTAGTGAAAGACATACTGTTCAGCCATTCAAAAGAGAGGATTATGCGTGAACTAGTATTTAGACGAATATATCAAAGCAAGGATCGGGAAAGCACAGCAAGCATTCATTCCTCTTAAATCTGTGTGGAGGTCAACAGCACTCAAGATGAAAAATAAGATCCTGATTCTCAACTCTAATATGAAGTCAGCGCTACTTTATGGATCAAAGACATGGTGCGTCATAAAGAGCACTTCAAACAAACTACAGAACTTCATCAACACCTTTCTTCGCTCAACAGCTCGCTCAAGATCAGATGGCCAGAAAGGATCAGCAACAGGGATCTCTGGGAGCTAACCAACCCAGCAGGAACCGATTGTGCAACAAATAACCAGGAAGAAATGGAGGTGGATTGGCCATACTCTGAGGAAACCATCGAGTGACATCACATGCCAGACCATCACTCGAGTGGAACTTGAATGGAAAGCGGCTAGTCGGTCGTCACTGCAGGGGTGACATGGAGGAGGTCATGTGAAGAGGAGATGAAAGCATGTGGGTAAACTTGGAGCCAGGTGAAAACGTTAGCAGAGAACCAAACACAATAGAGACGTGTGGTTGAGGCCCTGTGTTCCTCTAGGAATTAAAGGAAACAATAATAAATAATAGTAGTATTTAGACACATTTATGCTAACGTTTTCGAGTGATTTATCAACATGTCGTTTACCTTCAGACTATATTGATCAATTAATGTAAATACTTTATTTATATTACTCTAATTTCACTTGTTAAGAGAAAGAAAGTAATATTTAGATAGTTTACTTCTATACTTTTCTGAAACTTAGCAAAATACAGCCAAACAAACTGATTGTAGTAACCTGGAATTTAGTACAATACTTAATCATATCAATTCATCTAATTGGTGGATGGTGACTAGCAGTGGAATCCAGGATAACGCGAATTTCGTCCTATTTGGGACTTGTCAGCTGGATGTACCTGGATTTATCAGTGAGTGATGATGTTCCCACCGAGGCTTTGGCCTATGAAACTATGGGCACTGGGTCCGAGCTTCGGTGGGAACATCATCACTCACTGATAAATCCAGGTACATCCAGATGATGAGTCTCAAATAGGACGAAATTCGCGTTATCCTGGATTCCACTGCTAGTCACCATCCATCAATTAAATACTAATTAAATGCACAGACATCGTCAAAACGTTTGCACAAGAAGCCGACATGTCAACTTGAGACTGAGCACTTCACTTCAATCAGTCGGCGGGAAAATCTAAAATTCAATTATATCAATTCATCGTTTACGAACATAAAAACAAAACGATCATGAAATACGTAGTGTCAAAATTTAAAAAACCTGACCACAGTCTTTTGGTATCTTGAGTCAGATAAAATAATCAATGTTTTGGTACAAAATGAAACTCTGTTAGTTTCAGACTGAGAGATTATTAGTTTTTTTCTTGATATCCATGTCGAATTTCATTCATTCCATAGAGTGATTCTGTGTGTACGTCCGGAGAACTTGTTAATTCATTAGGAGTACACCACTTACACTGGGTATTAAAAGGTGACCATAGGTGGTATACTTCACAGCTACACCTTTGTTATCTCTTTGTCATACACTAAAAACCTAAAGTTATTCAATTAACGGCTCCAGACGAAAATGAATTACACCTTGGAATTTTTTGTGATTTTTTATCCTCCTCCTTCGCTGCAAAAGCCATACAAAATAACTCCAGTATGGATAAGATTTTATTTTGATAAGTCACACAGTTTTCTTTCCTTTATGTACCAAGTGGAACATAGAGCCTCAAGCTAATGGCTTGAAGTTTCTGTAGGAGTGTTTATTTTTACAGGATTGGGTTGCTAGCCTCATGCCCAACATTTCCTCTTTACCAGCACTATTTCTGGCTTAGTGAGGTAAAGAGGTTTGTCGGCTGGGGATCGAACCCCGGACCATGTACATGGTCGGTGAGCGTCCTAACCGCTAAGCCACCGACGCACAAATCAACTTGATATAATTATGAGCAATAGTTTGTGCTCGAAACGTCATCAGATAATATTGCTGTACAACACTGTAATTTATCAAAATAAAATCTTATCCATAATGGAGTTATACTCTACCACAGTGCCCAAGTTTTATACTTATATCAAGCCATACGAAATATGTAGTCGTATGGTGAGATAGATAACATTTCCAGGAAGTAAAATTGGACGTCAATTGATAAAGAACTTTACATTCGAATTATCTCGTCGGATTCGCTGCTTCTTTTTCTTACATCTTTTTTTCAACATTTAGATAAGTGATGGCAATTTTCATCTGATCAAACTTTATCTGGAAGCTGAAGTGCTATACCTTTACATTGACAAGAAGTTGTGCATAACTATGGGGAAAGTTAATACACAATTTAACAAAACACTGGGATACGATAGTAACAATAATAATAATAACAATGAGAATAATCCAATGCATACTCCAACTATATCTACATACAATGTGATTATTAAACCACAGTATTTGGCTTTAACAAATCCTTTATACTTTGGTGGTGTCCCAGCTGATCAGTTAGAGACAGCCAATCATTTAACAAATGGAATCTCTACACTTGGCTTAACTGGTAAGTTCATTAAACAGATTAAACTGTTCAATTATGTCGTAGGTTTAGCTTGTGATTCCCGGGAACTTAAAATTGTAAGTAGGTGTTCTATAAATCAGATCTAGAACTTCTGTTTCGTACAGTTTAATCTGATCGGGAGTCTAGACACTACAACAGTACCGTCAGCCTTCATAAATGTAGTGCTTTGAAGCATCTATGTTTAACACTAGCATTCATTTACGCGAAACTCCAGCATCAGAAATGTTACCTTAAAAGTCCTCTGGTTAAAAGTTTAATAATCTAGTTACAAGGTAAGCTCGTATACCATTCAGCCACTGGGACCTGATTCAATGCCCAACGCGTGAAATCTAGCTCCTATCAATTTGTGGTTTAGTGCGACCTCAACTATTGTCGTTGGTGGAACATCCATCCACACATGTGACATCTAATTGGACCTCACTGGTCACGACTTCTCACTAGAACTCCAGGAAACTCCATCCTGTAGCAAGTCAATAGCGAGCATCAGATTAATTTGCTATAGTTTGGTTTGTAAGGGTTGGGGTCGCGCTAAATCACGAAATGGTAGAAGTTAGAATTCATGAGCCATTGAATCGGGCCCCAGTGGCTGAATGGCATACGAGCTTGCCTTGCAACCAGAAGGTCCTGGGTGCGTACTGCTGATGATTCCCAAACTAGTATGAAACAGCAGTTGTCCAGTACTCCAGTGCTGGTTTTGAATGGTTCTCTAACTGATATCAATCCGTGATCAACTCGTAAAAGCATAACTAACCCTTACAAACCAAACTATAGACAATATTATACAATCACTTATAAGAACCAGCTTATCTTGCGTCGAGTAGTGCATGAGGGGAAGAATTCAAACACAAGCGAGACGTTTTAGTAAGAGATGTTAGCTATTCACTAAACTGTGACAAGAATCTAATGTACTGCTTATGGCACATGTTTACCAAATAAACTCATTTCCCTTAGACTAATCAATCGAATAAAGGAGTAATGTTTAATCTATCAGTCGTGTGAAAATACCAGAACAAAATTAGTTAGTAGGTATGGTTAGACACTTCAAAATTACTTCAATTTTTAGTTTTCTAATCACTTTAAGTTTCTACTCATGGTGACTAGGTTTTCCCTATAGGTGTACTTTTCAATACATAGATAAAAATTCTATAATTGGTTTCTCTCATGCTTAGTTACAGTGCCACCTGAACAGAAAGCAATTTGGTGGCCCTCAAAGTGTTCAGCTGATAGACGAAAACAAGTGGTTTGCAGAGTATTTCACGCATAGCTAAGAAACAGTTTTCTTGTTTTCTTTAAAATGAATATGGAGTGGCTAGTTACATCGTGCTATATTTAATTTTAATTTAATTTTTAATTGTATTTAATTTCAATTTTATTATAACTTGATTCCATACAATATTTTGGTACAAGTATGGAATTTTCAGCATGTGATATCGGTGGCCCGAATTCTGCAGGCCCGCCATTGATATCAGGTGTGCGTCAGTCGCTAGTTAAACCCCGGATCATGTGCATGGTCGGCGAGCGTTGTGCATTGGTCAAAGATTTGTATATCACCTCTGAGATGCTTAGATTTTGTTTACTTCAAGCTTTTCTAAGCAAAGAAAACAACCTATAAAGTCATTAAACTAGCTTGTCTGTCTTGACGAAAACTGGTATGATTTACTCAACGGCAAAATCATGTAGGAAATTAAGAAGGAGGTTAATAATTACCTGCAAAGAGCATGTATTTCTATTGAGATGAGAATGTTTGTCATTCCGAATTAACATCATTAAGCTGCTCACTTCATGGCCGCCTTTTCATATGTTCTAGCTATTCCCAATGGTTGCCAGTAAAATTCATCAAATAAAGTCTATTGGACAAGTTCTTAATGTAGACATTGAATTTATCTACACACCATTGCGGTGCTTTTCGTTTACTTCTGAATTTATTAAACTCAAAAATATGATGAGTTTGTTACCACACTTAAACTGCAGATACTTTTATAACTTCCATAAGAATGATTTCAAATAACAGTTATTTTTTGTTATCAAACGAAGCACTAAGCTGAATACTCAGTTCTGAATGTAACAGTGGGTAAGAGTAAGTGCGAAATTTAGTCATTTTAACGACATCTGTAAAACACTAAATAATTGAGCAATGAATATCCTTCTCGATAATTTCATATTCTGGCTCTACAATTATATATATATATATATATATATATATATATATACATGTTTATATACATAGAATATTCTAGAATAGTAGTCAATAACAATATTAGTGTTTTTAAATAATATTGATTTCGAAAGTATAATCAATGCAATCACAGTTCATTAAAGATGCTTAAATTATAATAAAAATAAAGATATGGTAGCAAATAGAATCTCAACTAAAATTAGGGAAATTCCTGCAAAAATTGAGGATCATTCGTACCTAGATGGCCAAGGTAAGGACAATGTCTGAACTAGCTTCATTTGCCTAATTTCACCTCTTCCATGTGTATTTGCCACTTTGACTGCTCCTGTGAAGCCAGTTACATAGGCGTGTTTCTCGTCGGATTTCCGAACATCAGCCTATGTGGTTAAGTAAAGGACAAACAAAATCGTAGCGCTATTCTATCTCATCTTGGGGATACAGAACACAAGATTGATGTCAACGAGGTGGCTTTCAAATTCACTTACCGCAAAGCAACATATCTCAACTTCGACTTAAGAGTTCGTCTATTGCATACTGCCTAGGCCGTTGCGGTCCACATTAAGAAACCTAATTTATGCGTCCAAAGGAAGCTAGTTCAGATATTGTCCTTACCTTGACCATATAGGTTCTAATAATCCTCAATTTTTTGTAGAAATTTCCTTAATTTTATTTGATATTCTCTTTGCTATTACATTATTATTATTATTATGATTTAAGCATCTTTGATGAACTGTAATTCCATTGATCTTACTTTACAAATCGATATTTTTAAAAAACATTGATATTGTTATTGACTACTATTCTAGAATATTCCATGTATTTAAACACATATAATTGTAAAGCCAGAATAGGAAATTATCGAGAAGGATATTCTTTGTTGAATTATTTTGTGTTTTATGGATGTCCGAATGAATATTTTCGCTATTTCAAGGACAGTTAAGTATTGATTATTGATTTCCCGTAGATTTGCTGATTAATTCGTGACTAATACAATCGACCTATTCAGATGTATGTGTGTTTAGTTATTCACCAGTTATCATCAGATTTCGATTGAGTCACGTAGTTGATTGGCATAATTTGGAAGTTATAAGCCATCTGCTTCCTATTAACCTAGTAAGGGGGGGGGTTTATAACGTACGTCTCTAAACCTGACGATCCGAGGCTCTGTCTCTTAAAAGACTGTACTTCTGCAAAGCCTAAAACTTAGACAAAACTTATGTACAACATCAAATGGCTTTTAATCCTGCCTAAAATTCAAATAGGTAGAACCCTGTATTGTTTTTTTTTCTAAATTTAACAATGGCGTTAAAAATCAATATCTTATGGTAAATACTCTTAACTGTACACTAATACTGACTAAAATGAAATAGACATTGGTAAACTAAATTGAATAAATTTCATCATCCAGTGTGTTTCAGTGTGCATAAACAACATTCCTAAGCATGCAAATCAAAACCGGTAATGCATGCATTGAAGATGGTGTATATTTGAGGTGATGTTACAGATTTGACCATGATAATGATGATAATAAAAGAGTCACCACTTATTTAAACGTGTCGTTTCACATTATTAATAACCTCAATCTATCCAAATTGTTCACATATTTTCTACTACCACAGTTTTCGTTGAATTGTTTATACTGATAAGCAATGATATTGTGTATCCTATGCGATAAACAAATTTTTCGTTTATGCATAGCTAGCCGAAGTATACGTATACATTGATAAACTAGTTTACTGTCTGTCTAACAGTTTTATCAATACTAGCAAATGATTATAGTGTTAATTTTTTATTAAAAGTCCAAATCAAGTGAATAAATGTTTGCAATCAATGAACTTTAAATAGCTAGTTTAACCTCCTTTGACATTTATATGGGTGGTTGAAGTCACTTGACCTAGCCTTTTAGTTTTATGACTGTCGCCAGTACGGTGCGTTTAAAATGTTATCAAGACTGATTTCTTTATTCTGACAACAGAAATTGACCAGTAAAGTTAAGACTAGCCTCAAAGTTAATTAATCTACACTAGACAAATAGCAGAGTTAACCAGATCCTGGAGTAATAGGTTATTTGAACTGCTTAGTGATAACCCACGCTATTGCAGCATTTTTATTATTCCCTTGGGTTCCGTGGTGGAACATAGGGCTTCAACAAACACATTTCCAGCTGACCAGCTCCACGATTGCCTATAATTTCCCATATTGTCCTCCTTGCATGATCTCTTCTATGTCACCCTATAACTGACGACCTACTCGTCACTTCCCATTTAGATTCCACTTGAGCGATGGCCTGCATTGTGCGTGATATCATTCAACGGCCTCATCAGAGTATACCCGATCCATCTGCATTTTCTCCTATTCATTTCTTGAGCAATAGGTCCTTGGTTGATTTGATGTCAGAGTTTCTTGCTGCTAATTCTTTCTAGCCAGTTGGTAAATTGATCTTCAGTATGGAACCAGCGGATGCAGTTGTTGATAAAAGTCTGTAACTTATTAGAAATCCTTTCCGTGAGTAACACGCCAAATTTCTGATCCGTAGAGAAGAACTGACTGGCTTGACACTGATCTTGAAAATCCGAATCATTTTCTTTATTTCGTGGAGTACAGAAGATTTCCAAACCGGTTTCAGATCGATGAAGGTGTATCTTGCCTTTCCGATTCTGACTGTGAAGTCTTCATCCATGCCAACTGCCTGTAGTTGAAACGACGCTTCCTAGATAAGTGAAGGAAGTAACCTCTGTTAAATCTATCCCGTTGATGGTGATTGGTGCTGGTTGTCGTTTTTGCTGCGGATCGCTGGTTATCTTCATTACCTTCATCTTCTCTATGTTCACTTAGAGTCCCGTCGTCGCTATCAGCTTCTTCAACCAGTTCGTTGATTCCCGCCTGCAAGTCTTCGAGTTTGTGTAACATCAGACAAAAATTATCCGCTAAATCCAGATGTTCTAGAGTCTTCCTAATGGTGGTCCAACGTATTACTGTCTCCTCGTTCCCCAAAGTCTGACGTATAATCCAGTCCGCCACAATAAAGAATATCATCGGTAATAACATACAGCCAGCCTTGTCTTACTCTTGTATGCACTTTGAACTCCTCGCTGAGTTTTCTGTTGTGGATCACTTGACACGTGCCACCATCATATAGCTGTTGAATAAGGTTGATAATGACTTGGGCACTGCACGCCGTACTGTTGAAATAGTTCCCAAATTAATTCTCGGTCAACGCTGTCTTCGACTGCTTTTTCGAAGTTGATGAAGTTGAGGTAGAGATTCGACTGCCAGTCTATGCTTTGTTCGATGACGATGTCGCGTAGAGTTACAATTTGATGAGCACATGATTTGTCTTTTCTGAATCTAGCTTGTTCCAGGAGGAGTTCTGTATCCAATGCATCTTTAATTCTATCCAGAATGATGCTACTTAGATTTTACTTGTCGTGGACAGGAGCATTATTCCACGTCAGTTCTTCAAGAGTCATACGTTGCCCTTCTTTGGCAGCTTGACAAGGTGACCTTTCTTCCAATCCGTAGCCACCTTTCCTTCTTTCCAAACTGTTTGCAACAATGATGTGAGAACATCTGCAGCAGTCTCTCGATCCATTTTCAGTGCTTCGGGGGGAATTCCGTCTGATCCTGCTACCTTCCCCGTCGGTGTTCAGTAGTTTGCTCTCATTCAGGATTTCTGCTTTCGTTGGAGGACTGGTGTCCACTGGTGTGCTGTTGATAGTGGTGGTATTTCTGGGCGAGTTGCAGGTGATGGTAGGTTCAAGAATCCTTTGAAGTGATCAGCACACTGTTTGATTTGTTAGTTTCTCCTCCTTGGTAATCAGGTTCCCTTAAGCATAATTTATTGGATTCATCATCTGGGTTGATCTCTTCTTAGCTAGTGACCTGGTTATCTGATACAGTGTACTTAGGTCTCTTTTACATGTGACCTGCCTGTTTTGCTTCAGTTGTTGGCCAGTGTGTCACAGAATAGTCTTTCGTCTTCCCTGGCACTCTTCTTCACTTCTTTATTCAGTGCAGTATACATTGAAATCAGCTTCTCCTTCTGTTGTCCATCTTCTCTTTCCTCATCCTCCTCTCCTCGATTCGCTTCCAGGTAGGTGTCCATTGAGGGCCATTCTTTGTCTTGTTTCTTCTTTCTTCATAGAACAATTGTGTACGTTTCCTTGGACATCACCTTCAGAGAGTGAGTTCCAGTGTTCTTCCATGCAGATTTCCTCAGTGACGCCACAAAGTGTATCCGACTTTGCCCCGATATCTGTAGTGAAGGCATCCCTTGTAGCTTTGTCCTTCAGTTTATGAATGTTGAGCTTGAATTTCGGCCTGTCTCCAGCTGTTCTGAAGGGTTTCAGCTTCATCTTGAAGGTTCCTCGATGGTCTGAGCACACACCTTCTGCCCTTTTCGACTGTGGGTCCAGCAGACTGGCTACATCACATATCTGAATCTCTCGGAGGTAGTCAGTTTACTCGAGATCTTAGTTTCATTTTAATGATCAATTAAATTGAGCATGAAACTCAGCTTCTCCAACTCATGCTGATTTTCTTATAACATCAATTTAAAATGCACCCAGTTGATAAGTTTCCTTACTTGTAGTCCACAATGCAGACTTGATTGATATAACTAAACCGATAATAAATACTATACCAAAAGATACTGTTAACTGTCTAGTGACCAGTTAGTATAATCTAACATCATTCTTCATCTAGAGACGCCCTGTCTTCATAAATACAAAATCCCACGTGAAATGTCTCATTTTATTTCAACAATCTAACTAATATATATTAAGCTACTCACAAAACGATACTTCATTTAGGATTGCTCATCAACAAATTTGGTGTACACTCCTTCTAAACTCGTTGAGTTTTGAGTATTGCAGTGGAAATATTGAAATAATTATCTATAAACTTCAATTTTGTTTACTTTACTTTTCTTCTGTCAAGGTTGTATACGAAATGTACAAATTAATGGACGTATGATTGATTTTGCTCGCCTTTTTGGAGCACCAGTAGATAAGATGACCGGAATAGAAGAAAATGACATTGAGATATCTTCACCAGCAGCTAAACATCATGGAACAGCGATTGGAATACTGCCAGGCTGTAGAATAAATAATGAAAGATCTAACAGCCTAGATTCTCAGTTAAAGTACCCCAAGTCTGAAAAAGAGGATGAAAATTTGAAAGCAGATAACTCTGTCTCAGATGATGTATCAGAAGTCAACACATATGAAAAGTCGACATTGGGACAATTGTCAGAAACAGCGTACAGTAAAAACTCCACCTCATGTGATGCAGATAGCGAAAATTCATGCCTGAATGGTGGTATTTGTACAAACCGTGACCTGAAACAAACTGGAAAGTATTATTGTAAATGTCCAAAGGGTTACAAAGGACAAAGATGTGAATTGGGTAAGTTGAACATGTCATTGTAATTTTAAATTACTGATAAGGAAAGATAGCGAACAAATGCACATACTGTTGCAAAATACAACGAAGATTCTCTTAATGTCTAACTCCAGTTTTAAAGTTTTTTTTTATGAGTGACTGATTCCAGAGAGTCAAATATTTTTAAATTACTCATTAGTAGTAGTTATACCACAACTTTGTGAAAAATGGGACCATAAAAAGCTTATTGATTAGAACACAAGCTCGTAATACCTAGCTATTGATTGCACAAATTTGGGCTGCTGCAAGAGGAAAAACTAGAATAAAAAAAACGTGACATTTATTGGTCAGCGCCAGTAGATTCTATTCATTTTAACACAGCCTTCTCGTAATTATCTTTAATTGTTTAAAAGAACTATTTCTCCATATTTATGATATACTTTTCTAGCTGAGATGAGTAGTTGGAGTGAACTCACTTCAGACAGGAGTTCCAGGCATATAGGAGTGATCTAAATACAGAATGGCTGTTTGGCTTTCTTGATTGTCATTTGCAATGTTAAGCCCATGAGACCCTGGAATTTGAATAATTCTGGCTTCAAAATAAAACAGCGGTGAATTCCAATCTTAAAACTGTGTAATTCGCAAATGACGAACTTCATTTTATTCATATGAACTGTGATCAAGATTTGACCGAATATTTGTAAAATATTATATTTGTAAAATCTCAGCGATATTGAAATGAGTAATTCCAACGTTTCGTTCGGCAATCAGGTCCGAACTTCTTCAGGGAAATTAATCGAAATTAACATAACAGGTTTATATATAAAAGGAACATCTTTAGTTTTTAAAAAACTTTGTCCAATCATGATTTATAAAACAAATATTAACAAGTATAATAAACAAAATTGTAGGAGTTGTGATCAAAATTTGACCTCAGACATAATTTTAATAAATAAATTTTAATAATAATAAATATAATTTTTTACAAATGTCTACTTCTCACTCGGCGCCCAAATATTATAGAAATATTCTGTCAAATCTTGACTACTGTTCATTTGATTTGACCGAATAGTTCCAAAATAATTGGGCACCGAGTGAGAAGTAGACATTTGTAAAGTCTCAGCGGAATTGAAGTGATTAATTCCAACGTTTCGTTCGGTAAACTGGTCCGCATATCTTCAGGGAAATTAATCGAAATCAGCATAACAGAGGTTTATGCATAAAAAGGACATCTCTTGTTTTCAAAAACGTTGTCCAACCATATGAGTCATGAAGCAGTCATCAGAATATAATAAACAAAATTGTATGAGCCGTGATCAGAATTTGACCTCAGACCTACAGATATCAGTATACTTATGGTGAACACTTTAAACAGAGTGTACTTTTCATCAGAATTTCAGTGATTACGTTCGACTGCAGTTTCATGTATATAGATAGCTGGATGTGAAAATCTATATTCGTACATGCAGCATACAATGGTGTGTGTATGTGTATATGGGCGAGCAGTTGTAAGACATTTGTTAACCTCTCCATAAGAAGACACAGACAATCAGGAACTTAGACAAAGTATGATTGATTAGTGATATATATATATATATATATATATATATATATATATATATATATATCCATTTTTTATTTATTAATCAGGATTCGCCATACATCAGCTAACATCACACCTTCACGTTTGTTCGAACTGTTGGGATTCACCCATATTTGCGAATCTTCTACAATCAGTCTTCCTTTATATGAACAAAAACCTTTTTTCAATAATTTAATAATTCCCATTGTAGCATTAAGAACACAATTTTCAGCGAAGAGACTCTTTTCAACGAATTTATTATCAAGCTGTACAATCGTATATATATGGTTTTATAAAGAAATTATATCCGGTGAGGGAATTAGGTCAAAGGTGTAAATACATGAAATAATAATAGTATGAAATAAATTTAAAATATTTGTGATTAGGTTCATAGTTTAAGTCAAGTGGAACAATAATTAATGTCATATATAAGATAATACATCAGGTGTATAGATTTTGGGGAGAGGCATATAATTGTAAGATTAATAGACGAATGTAAAATGTTACGTCTATTAATCTTACAATTATATGCCTCTCCCCAAAATCTATACACCTGATGTATTATCTTATATATGACATTAATTATTGTTCCACTTGACTTAAACTATGAACCTAATCACAAATATTTTAAATTCATTTTATACTATTATTATTTCATGTATTTACACCTTTGACCTAATTCCCTCACCGGATATAATTTCTTTATAAAACCATATATATACGATTGTACAGCTTGATAATAAATTCGTTGAAAAGAGTCTCTTCGCTGAAAATTGTGTTCTTAAAAACCTTTTTATAGAACCTTAGTCCTATCAAAGTCGATTTCGTGTCCCGTTCCTACCAAATGCGCAATCGCTTATTTGTTTTCTAGCTGTTTTAAATCTTCAGAGGTTTTTGGAACCACCTTTAGACATTGTTTATGCTGTTTATCTCTTATATTCACCTGTCTGGAAGTTTCTCCTACATATACAGCGTTACAGTCCCCACAACTGATTTAACACGTACAGTTTCTTTGGTTTTCTTCTATTTTATCCTTAACCTTCACCACTGATGAGCATAAGGTGTTAGTTGTACGAGAATACACTCTTATGTCATGACCGTTAAGGATTAGCTTTATCTCATCCTACGTTTCTTTGAAGTAAGAAATCAGCGCTGTACTAACCCCAATTCTTAGCAACAGATTTCTATCCATCATTTCAAATATCTTTTCATGAAGGCGTTGGGATAATTATCTGATTCAAGAGTGTATTGAAACAATTTTTTTTCCCTGCTGATATCTCTTTCTCCTCAGAAACTAGACGTCTGGCCGTTATCCATATTCTTGGCCACAGTTACTTTGGTGGTGAAGAGATGTGCTGAATACATTTTTTCAAAACTTGATGGCTTCTACATAAAAGTGGAAATCAATACTTCAGTATTTATATCAGCGCTTTTACAGTCATTCAAAATCCAATCTATAACCTAGATTGAAAAGTAGTGAGAATGAATTATTGTGACATGAAAACAGATAATTTTTAATTTATACCAATTCAAAAATAGATATCATACTTTAATTACAACAAAGAAGGATGACCTATTGATTTGAAAATATTGAATGAAAGTGTATTTTAACCACTAGTTATTTAAACCATCGTATCGATTCTCTAGTTGGTTTCCAATAACCACTGATTACTACTAGCACTTTTTGTCGATAACAACTACAATTTTCAAAAAATTCATACATTTGGTTCCCTTGATAAATTTCGATAAAGAAAGGAAGACGAAATTTGCAGTATAAAATGATATCATTCTAGTTCACAGGTTCTCATCAGCTGCAGACTACCTGAAATTACAATGGTTATATAGATGATAATAACATACTTTAATGTTCGAGTGGTGGTAGAGAAGAGATACTATAAAATTGACGCATCTAAATGAAAGCATTACAATGTTTTTAGTTTAAGTTTTCATCATCAATTTATACGCTTTTAAAGTTGAAAAGAGGGGGAGGGGTAAGAGAGAAAACAGAAAAAATTGATTAACAGAACAGTGTTAGCTTTTAGGTTTACATAGCAACTCAAGAAACAAAAAAACAAAAACGGTTACAGTTTATGAGATTAAGATTTGTTCAGTGAGTTCAGATCACTGAATTAGATGACTAATCAAAATCAAAATTCTGTTACCAAGGGAGTGAGAGGTTAATCACACTCTCTTTCTGTATGCATAAGTCTGGTTTAAGTCTTTTGATTGCGATTGCTTCGGCAAATCGTAGTAAATTTGCTGTCCTTTGTCTATTTAATATTTTGAAGGACTTAGAAATCTCTACGAGATGTCCGGTATCAATAATGTGTCTGGTAATTGCACTCTGGGAATATCTGCTTCCTTTCAGGCACAGGTTTTTGGGAATATGTTCAGAAAACCGGATAGAAGCCCTTCTTTCTGTCCTTCCAATGTACTTGCTCCCGCAAGTGCACGTGAATTCATAAACGCAGTTGGAGGTGACATCAGCAGGGTATTTATCCAGTTTTGAGCGTATTGAAGGGTCGAAGATATAAGATATATATATCTTCAGGGTCGAAGAAGAATTAGTTTTCGTCGAGAAATGCCTAAGGGAAAATGGATACCCTAAGGGATTTATTCAGAAGTACAGCAGAGAAAAAGATGAGAAAGAAAAGCATCAAACTGTAGAAAAGAAAAAAGTGTTTATCTGTCTACCATACAAAGGAGATGCAGTGTCACAAATATTGACAAAAGACTGAAAGGTGCAATAAATAGAAGCTTCCCAGCAGCAAAACTCATAACAGTATACAGCACCACTCCTTCTTTTATCCACTCAAAACTGGATAAATACCCTGCTGATGTCACCTCCAACTGCGTTTATGAATTCACGTGCACTTGCGGGAGCAAGTACATTGGAAGGACAGAAAGAAGGGCTTCTATCCGGTTTTCTGAACATATTCCCAAAAACCTGTGCCTGAAAGGAAGCAGATATTCCCAGAGTGCAATTACCAGACACATTATTGATACCGGACATCTCGTAGAGATTTCTAAGTCCTTCAAAATATTAAATAGACAAAGGACAGCAAATTTACTACGATTTGCCGAAGCAATCGCAATCAAAAGACTTAAACCAGACTTATGCATACAGAAAGAGAGTGTGATTAACCTCTCACTCCCTTGGTAACAGAATTTTGATTTTGATTAGTCATCTAATTCAGTGATCTCAACTCACTGAACAAATCTTAATCTCATAAACTGTAACCGTTTTTGTTTTTTTGTTTCTTGAGTTGCTATGTAAACCTAAAAGCTAACACTGTTCTGTTAATCAATTTTTCTGTTTTCTCTCTTACCCCTCCCCCTCTTTTCAACTTTAAAAGCGTATAAATTGATGATGAAAACTTAAACTAAAAACATTGTAATGCTTTCATTTAGATGCGTCAATTTTATAGTATCTCTTCTCTACCACCACTCGAACATTAAAGTATGTTATTATCATCTATATAACCATTGTAATTTCAGGTAGTCTGCAGCTGATGAGAACCTGTGAAATAGAATGATATCATTTTATACTGCAAATTTCGTCTTCCTTTCTTTATCGAAACTACAATTTTCACTCTCTACTGGAGGCTAAGTCATGTACTAGGGTTCCAAAAGCTTTCAGTCAACCAACTATGACGTTTTGGGTGACAGACAAAGTAATTATCATATATAATAATTAAAGATTTAGCCTGAGCTGAGATGAAACAAGTACATTTGGGGTAGATTTGTGGTAAATTTCACCTCCACTTGATTAGAAAACACCAAGTGATTACAAGGTAAATGTCGTTACGATATGACACTAACTTGAGAAGCAACGATAACTGATTCATCTTACTTTGGGGCTATGCAATAGCATACACCGCTAAGTTCGTGAAAGGATAGACTGCAGTACTACGATATTCTGAAGTGAACACTTATCCATTTAACCACTAGGTGGATTATTGTTGAACTTAGTAATTGACAAATAATCTTATGTGCATTCCTACAAATTTTTCAACTATGGCCAAACAGCTGTCCAATACTCTGTGGTTTTCAGTGGATTTCGATTTTCGACGAAGTCTACTTTTATATCTTCATAAAATAGCAAGCAGTAGTGTGTAAGTGTGGTGAAGTATCTACTAATTACATGATCTTTTGAAAAGAATCTAATAGTCTAAGTTCACCAATCAGATTAATTAGTCATAACGAGAACACATGATCACCTAGTAAGTAGACATTACCACGACTTTACCTGTTCATTCATGTCAGAAAATCTGTGAAACTCCTGTGTGAACTTAATTGGTTGATGGTGACTAGCCAGCCAGGATGCGCATTTCGTCCTATTGGGGACTCGTCAACTCTATGTGTCTGCATTCCACAGTGAGTGATGATGTTCGCACAGAATTTGGAACCCAGTGCCCATAGTTTTAAAACGCCAAAGCGTTATCCACTAGACCACTTGAACCATTAGAGCCACCTCTTGTGCAACGCATCATCCTGGGCATCTTGGATTCCAGTGCTAGTCATCATCCAACGAATAACTTCTAATTACATGCCCGTGCGTCGGTAGCATAGAGGTTAGGACGCTCGCCAACCATGCACATGGTTCGAGGTTCAATCCCCAGCCGACGCACTCCTCTACCTCGCTAAGCCAGAAATAATGCTGTTAAAGAGGAAAGGTTGGGCATGAGGCTAGCAAACCCGTCCTGTAAAAATTAACACTGTTACACAGACTTCAAGCTTCTAGCTTGGAGCCCTATGTTCCACTGGGAACGTGAAGGGAAAAAAACATGCCCAGACATCGTCGAAACATCTTCAGAAGCAGGCGATATGTCAACCTAAGACCGAGCACTTCTGTCCAATCAATCGACAGGAAAATCTAAAATTGAATTAAATAATCCTATGTGAACTGCTCAATTCAAATGTGATGAGAGCTGGCTGCTAGCCAAATTGGTAGACAGGAATTTAAGTCAATGTTTACGCCCCCAATATTGGTCGTGAGAAAAATGAGAACAATGATTGATTCAAAAAACAACCACAGCAGACTTTGCGCAGGCGGGTACAGTTAGTATGTAGATGATCTGACAGTCAAGAAACAGCCACAAAGAGATGAAAGATTGAATTTTAGTGAGAAACAACCGATCAGAAGACTGTGTCTTTCTGCTAACAATAATCCATAATAATGTACGTGAAAATCTATAAATATCTGTTGCTTTCCTTAATAAACGATCTGTTTCCTGGCCCTTGTCTTCTGTTGTTACACTATGACTACATATTGATTTTTCCTTTAGTTATAGGCAGATAGCTACATGAAAGAAACTATTTCCACTGTATATAAATATATTTGTAAATGCTAAGGATAGCACAGAGATACTTTCTACTTATTTATGAGGGCATAGAAATAAAAGTCACTGACACATTAAAGTACAGATTCTATCTACTTCATCTTTTATTACTTCGAAATTCATTGAGAGCAAGTGCCGAATTCATTAAACAGTTACCTGTTCATCCATAGGAAAGCTTTTCAGAATGCAGTTGAGAAGCTACAACTTGCATAATTATAAAAATTGAGGATAATTATATTCCAGATTTTATTAGTGAATCACAACTACTCTGTATGCTAGGTTAACTAGAAAGCGGTTTACGATAAATAGTAGATACTGGCCGAATGGTTCATTAAGAAAGATGGCCGTCGTAAGTACAGCTACTGATTTTTTTAGCATAGCATTAAAGTAATCCATTAGTACTTAGAGTTTAACTACCTACCCGTTTGGCATCATCGATCCATCTGTCCCGTTTATTATTCTTGACCTGATCATAAAATCAGTTTTAGAGAATTGCTAGTAAAATAAAAAGAGTTTTAAGAGGATTACACCAACCTCTTCAAGATATAAGCATTACATTTCTCCAGTTGTTATGGTTATTTTGTCACGTATAAGCAGACGTTGTAGTGTATATATAGCTCATTCGAGTATTATTCATTGGGTTTGAGTACCATGCTTCACTTCATCTGATTCACTCTGGGAAAGTGTATATAATACCAAAGGCTTTCATATATGAAGTATTGTTAATAGTCTACTATACAGAAATACTTACTTCCACTGTTCTATTTTACTCTTAAAACTGAAAAATAAACTGTCAACCAGAGCTTTAATTGAATTTTAGATTTTCCCGTCGATTGATTGGACCGAAGTGCTCGGTCTCAGGTTGACATGTCGGCTTCTTGTGCAGATACTTCGACGATGTCTGGGCGTGATCTGGATCGTGACTAGTTGTGGAATCCAGGATAACGCGAATTTCATCCTATTTGGCACTCGTCATCTGAATGTACCTGTATTTCTCAGTAAGTGATGATGTTCCCATTACGGCTCAAGGTGGCTCTCGTGGCCCAAGTGGTCTAGGGGATAACGCTTCGGCGTTTGAAACTATAGGCACTGGGTTCCAGCCTCAGTGGGAACATCATCACTCACTGGGAAATGCAGGTACGTGCAGCTGACGAGCCCTAAGTAGGACGAAATGCGTATCCTGTATTCCACTACTAGTCACCATCCACCAATTAAATACTAATTAAATTAACAATAGCGTTTAAATTTGCTAAGTGAATGGTGATAAACTAAAATTAAATCCAAAGTACACTAGTTGATCAATATTGTACATCCTTGTTTATTTATCATTGTATTACCATTTTCGGTTAAAAGTACAATTAAATATCAAAGTAAACAATTTAAATTTCGCCGCAATACTTTCTTTTTTTTTCCAAATTTCAATAGTATCTGCTTGTCATCGTGATACTCAACGTTCATATATACGTGATCCTCAAACAAATTGTGTCTCATCTAGAAAACTGTCAATTCGTAAATGTTCTGGTACGTGTGACTCAAATATTTTCCAGCATGAACAACACCAACAGCTCCAACAGCAGTTGAATAAGAACAATTCAAACAACCGCGAATCAATGAAATTCTATAAATGGAAGACAATTTATAAAAGATCATCAGATTCAGTACAAGTATGGCTACCACGTAGTTCAAAAGAAATACGTTCTAGTGAAACAGTCAACAACTTCAATCCCTTTGAATCGTCTCATTCAAATCAACCGAACGGGATGATTACACACCTATCTAACAAACAAGGACAGCAACACCAACAACAACAACAATATTGTTGTCAAGCGACAAAAATTAAATTACGACCAATTTTATTTAACTGTCCCAATGGTGCTGTTTATGAGCGTACTATAAAATTAGCAAAAAGGTGTGGTTGTGTTCAATGTGGTCAATAGAATATAGATAAACAGATATACAGTATATTAGTAGGATGACAGTGTGCAGCAGGACGTCTAGCTAGAACGTATACTCTCACCTTAGAGAAAACAAATTACAGAAAAGTAAAAATTAATTAACTGAAATGACACTTTTTTCTATTAAAAGTGACAATAAGGGAAAAACTAAATGCATTTTGTTTTATTTTTATTGTAATAACTACCTCAATATATCTACTATATATATAATCGTCAGTATTTGCACTTTATGCAGAATAAGTAATTAGATGACATTCTAATCACTATCATCTTTGTTTCTTTTAATCTTATTTACCCTGATACAGAGAGTTCATCCTTTATCCTTTACTCACTGTATTATTACTATTAATACTATTAATGTATGTATTATTACATTTGTAATAATAGTTGAAATACAGTACATAATTCTGTTTCAATTCTATAATTAGAATAATTAATTCACTAAATAATCGATAAACTTAATCTTATATTCATTTTGCATTAGATTCACTAAGGTTAACTATCTATCTATCATTATCAATTATATCTTAAACTCGTAATCTTCTCCACACAATATTCATAATAATTATTAAATTCATGCAGATACATGTAATCGCTTCTCAAAGATGTGTGTGTGTTGAGGTGCTTAGTAATTGCTACGACTTGATATCAGGTAGAGGGTGAACACAACCAAAACAGAAACCCACTATATACCATCCAGTAAATATCCACATACACTAAACTGCTGTTAATAATATCACCGATGGTAAGCGCATATTTGTCTGGGTACATGAAATATGCATCGAATGCACAAACGCACATCCACACATACACATGCACACACACACACATCTTTGATCATATTCCCGGTATTGAATGCTAAGAAGACGACATCTTCCACACTGATCTGATCTGAATACTTGTATATTTCAAGAATAATTCTTTTTGTTTTTCCTCTTTCTCCCAAAATCAATCAAAGCTTATTGATTAGCACTATTGATTTTTGTTGTCTGTGTCCTGTGTTATATTATTGCCAGTTTTAGTAATTATAATTATTGTTCCTCTCATCATTGTTGTCTTTTTCAATGTTATTATAACTCAAAATGATTTTGTTGTCTCAACATGAATAATAATTACAAAAAATTTAAAAAGTGATTATTGTATTTTGAATAGTAAATGATAATTTTAAATTTTGTATAATAAAAATTCATTCTCTAAACACAGTGTATTTTTTAAAATTTAAATCAACTGATGAAAAGTTTTCTAAAGCTATCAGTTTTATAAGAGTTGAGAGAAGATCAACTCACCATTTTTTATGGCAAATCAGTGGACACGCTCTAGCAGACCTTTGAGTGAAAATACAGGTGATGACACTGACTGGAACTCGGATGGAAAGTAAGGAGTTGGGCGACCGAGGGTGATATTGAGGATATCATAGGAAGAGGAAATGAAAGCTTGGGGACTTTCGTGAAGCCAGTGATAACAGACTGCAGAGAACAGTGTGAAATGGAGGTGTGCTGATGAGGCCGTTTGTTGGAGCTGAAACCCAATGGAATAATTAAATAAAATAAATGAGTACATTCAAAATGTAGTGAAGTTATTTACCCTTAAAAATTTACTAGTTTAGCTGAAAGTTATTTTGTTTTTAAACTAAATCTCCCCATCCAACTAACATGTTTCAAGGAATCACTGAGAAACAAGGTGTACTGAATAGATGTTCCCTAAAAGTTTGAAGCGCGTTAGTAACGCACATCTATCAGTCGGTAGATGATCTAGTCACTGATTGACATGTATTATGGTAATCTTGTCATAATTCAGTCATTGAATTAGAATACCCTCTAAATTATCCTATAATTTCTGAGTAACCGTTCTTAAGATAGGCTAGGGTTGACCTGCCTAGGGACATCGTCTCAATAAAAAGGTTGGAAAAGCATCTCGAAGCTAGTTTCACATGTAAATATTGAGTCACTATCTCAGGTTTACAATGCACCAAGTCTGTTCAAAACACCCCTTGTGTAATGAAAATAGAATAATGAGATTTAGACTTGAAAGAAAGCGTAGAACAAGTGAGAAAAGTTCATGTGCTCCAAATGTGAATATCTCGCAATCCATCAGAGACCAACGTTCACTATGCTTAAGATACACCCAGCTAAAATATGCAATCTGAAAAACGCGATACAGGGATTTCGTCATATTCATAAGTAAGTAGCCACATCACTTTTATATGTAAACACTTACGTCCGACACTTAATAGTCAGTGGAACACTAAATGATAAGCTTGAATCATACCTGTATGTCTGTGGAAGAAACCTCTAATAAATCAGTAGCTATAATTAGAATGCTAGTTCGCTGATATATGAAACAAGCAACAGCGGAATTTAATGAATTTATATTGCCTTTTTCACAGTGTGTTGCCTGTTTTATATCTACCACGGGGAAGAAATGTTTTGATTTAAGGATAAAACTTAGGCTTTATGGTACAGTATAACTCCATTATGGATAAAATTTTACTTTGATAAAATCACACAGTGTTATACAGTAATACTTACTGATGGCCATGTTTCGAGCACAATTTATTGTTCATTATCATATCAAGGTACTCACTCACACAACTTCGTTGCTTCATTAATACACATGGGTAGAAACTGATGATTAGACATTTGAATAAAATCAATATAAGATAAAGTGCATTCGGAAATAATATTAGAGTTGTCAATAAAATACTATAAGATGGGAAATAAAATGGTTTTATTAGTAAAAATAAGTTACTTTTTAGTATGTTATAATGTGAAATGAATGCATTTTAACACTATTTATCATCCTCTGATTTGACTGTTGGTGATAATATCTTCCATATCTCTGGTATTTGCATTGAGTCACTCGCTCTTCATGTTTTGGGTGTAGACTCGGTGAACTAGGATTCAGTAATCAATCTCTTTCTCCACCTACATAGATTACTTTTTAGAATTTAGACTGTGTCTCACCCAACTGTGTGGCTGTGTATTAACGCATGTAGTACTATTGCTGAGGTTTTTTCAAAATTACTTACCATCGTAGGATCAATCATTCTAACCTTAGATACATTTGTGTGTTCTGATAATCTCACTACTCGTGATCTATTAGTTTGACCTATATAGTCACAGTCACTGCAAGGTATATTGTAAATTATATTATTTTATTTAATTAGATCCATTGGGTCCTTTAGCCTACAGAGCTTGTTTCTGAGTGAGTTTTCATTGATATATCTCATGAAAAGTTTATTCTGAGTAAATATTCAAAAATATCGCTAAGAGCAATCAAATAATTTTAATGTTTTGTAAATTAAAAAGATGATCTTATATATAACAACCAAGAAGTATATTTGCAACGATTTTTGATACTTGACTGTTCGGCTGTTAGTCACAAATCTGAATTACACTCTACCCGCCATATATTAAGTAAAGAAGTAGTACCTCTATTCTACTCAAATTAACTGTAGTTGGTTGATTAATGTACAGAATTGTTTATGACTTTCATCATACAGTTAACAGATTACTGAATATCTTACGGTGGAGGGGGGAGGTGATACGAATTTCGAGATATTCAGAACAACTAGTAGTAAGCTCCATAGTTTTGCTAAGATCTGTGACTGCAGAAGAATAAGTTTCATGGTATGGGCTAAGAGTAAGTGTGCGTCAGTGGCTTAGCGGTTGAATGCTCACCGATTATGCACATGGTCCGGGGTTCGATCCCCGGTCGACACACTATTTTACCTCGCTAAGCCGGTAATAAGACTGCTAAAGAGGGAAGGTTGGGCATAAGGCCAGCAACCCCCCCCCTCCGTAGAAGTAAACACTGCTACCGAAACTTCAAAGCTCTAGCTTCAAGCCCTATGTTCCATTGGGAACGTGAAGGAATAAAAGAAAGAAAGGTAAGTGAAAATACTAAAAAATCCTAGAGTTAAATTACAAAATTTCGCGCTGTTCTGACAAAGTAAAATAGATGGATTAAAACCATACATCATTCTTATATGTTGATTATCTAAACAACTGATATTTGTTCACACTGAGAATTGACATCAAAATGGTTCTCATTTAAAGATATGATTAGATTAAATAGAAGTTATAACAAATTTTACAATTTGAAATATAAAATAAAACAAAAGAGATCTATGGTAACTTGAAGAAATTAATAAGTCTGTTTACAATAAAGGCAAATCGAAAGAAATGCTTTCAGCTGAAAACCAGTAGAGTTCATTACAAAAATTAATATTAGCCTAGGAATGTAGTCTATGCTAGCAATAAAAATTTCCAATGGAAATTATGGACCTTTCTCCACACACACACACACACACACACCTCTTATTTTCAATCTATAAATACCCGTTAAATCACAAAAAATACCCATTTATTCAAAAGTAAAACCACAGATTTTTGTTCAGTGAAGAAATTTCTTCTCAACAACTTCATTCTCAAGCTGTACAGTCGTATTTATATCACAGAAAAAAATTTATTAAGTGACCCTAAATAACTGCTCAGTCAACATATATATATATATATATATATAAGTTATAAGAATAATGATAATTAAAATGTTATAAGGGGTAGAATTGAAGTGGATGAATTACAAAATTATTAAAGATTGTTTTATAAGTGAATTGATATCAAAAAATCTTTTTTTTTAATGTCAAGCTTTGTCTAAAAATTTTAAAAACTAGGAGAACGATGACGATAAGAATAAAGATGTAAAGTGGAATGACTTCAAATGGTAAAATAAAATAAAAACTAGAAAGAATATTACTATGACCAAGGTAAAGAATGGGGTTTAACAAAACGTTTTTGAATACATAATTTGGGTTTCTGTGCATGCATAGCTAGAGCTTCGGGTATGCATAAGTGGAGAAAATGTAAGCTTTTGAAGTGACTGGACTTGGTCCTGTAGATAAGTTTAAAGGATAAATCGCATGTGGTTGAATGACCTGAATCCCAAAGTTGTTCACAAATTGAAGACTGTGTCGTCCTGTTCTCAAATTTCATTAAGCAAACCAGGAGGAGTTCAGCTACGCGTTTACTGAGATTACGCTTACAACGCCTAATGTAATCAGCTCCACAGGAGCACGTGAATGAGTATATTCACATAGACGTGGACATAAGCGATAGTTTATTCTCGACACATTGTCGAATCATATTTCGGTTGGAAAATACTAAATGTAAATCAGCTGTATAAAAAGAGTAATTAATACATTTAGGTAAACGACTTCAGCAAAAGTGTCACTTTTCAATGGCAAACTCATAAGTAGTGTCTTATTTGGCACTGTGACTTGGCTGGGGACGGTGCCACGCCATAGGCTGATCGCCTCTCCCCTTTTTCTGTCCATTACCAGAGCTAGGAAACAGCGACCAGCACGGCGGCCTCTGGCATGATATGTCCACATATCCAAGATGACGACACTCATTGAGAGGTGACCGCCAACGTGTCCGAACGCACGCCACCAAACTTACACGATGATACCATCGGACAAAAGCAATTCTAGGGAGTCAGAGATGACTAAATACAAAGAGTTGCCGCACATCCTTAGTCCGAAGAGGCTAAGCTTCATAATCATAAAGCAAGACTGAGAGCACCGAAGCATTGTAAACCCGAGACTTGACGGCCACGATGATGTCGCAACAGCGCCAGGTGGATCACATTGACGTATGCCACCATATCTCTCACTATATATCTAGGGATTTCGTCCACCAAACTGCCGCCAGCATTCACACAAATACCTAGGTATACGAATTCGTTGACAACTTCAAGCAGTTCACCTACGAGTTTGAGTGCAGCTACAGACTCCAGCTAATCCTGCAGTAATATTAGCAATACCGAACATCTCGGCTGAATAGCTTTCATACATAATTCGGGAACAAGACGAAAATCTACACAGAATATGTAGTTGCTTAGACTGTGACTTCCAATCATCACACGGGTGTATTTAGGTTATTTATGCTTAATCGTAAACAAAGTAAGAATCCATGACTCTCATTCTCCCATTGTGTTCAATCTGCTTTCTTCCTTCTTATATAGCCACTGATTGTATAAACCATAGGAAGGATTTGTACAAAATCGTGAGATTTATCCTAGTAACATGGAGACCAAATCTGTTTTCTAAATATCTGGAAATCAATTAAGCCCATTAGTAATTCAAGTGTCAATCCATTTGAATCAATTCTGTCTCACGGATATTCTCGTTTACTCCTCATTAATCTTATTCTAGGTTGGTGAAGGAAACTTAAAATAAAAATCACACCATATTATTTTTTAATTCAGGCCTAAATTGGAAATGTAAGCATAAAGTCTAAGCTGTCCTGGAATTTTCCCAATCCATATAGGCTATGACATTACACCTATGTGAAAACACGGCTATGTATTGCATCGCTATGGAAACTGAATTGATTTTCTTTTGTAATACTATTTATTAATGCAAAGTCTTGTTGTTGTTTTTTTCTTTATCTAATATTCCACAAAGCCTAAATCATGCATAAAATGCTGGGACAAATCGCTGTGGTAAGACATAAAAAAATGTTCAATTCCCCGAACTTGATCTAATCACCTTTGCATAAAATGTACGATGACGATAGAGTAGAGTTGGACAAAAAGAAACCATTGACTTAGGTTGAAAGGTGAAGAAATATAGGTTTTCAGAGATTGGTGTAACAAAATGTGTAGTTGAAGAAATCCAACAATGTCAGTTAATGTTAACTTGCGAGCCAATACGAAAGTATTGTAAGTACATAAAATGACTTATCGGAACTGGGTTTTCTTAATTTGATTACTTAGTTTGTGTTTAAATTAAAAGTTGGCACTCAATAAAACAAAGTCCACCTGTAGTGGTAAACTTAGATAACCCAAGAAATGTGTGCATCACGATGGCAACCAAACCACTACTCAACGTGCCTTTGTGAATATCCATACCTGTGACTAATCCATTTAAGCACTTCACCACAGATTTGCATCACATGTTCTTTAACTTCCATAAAGACAGGGACTAAATGTCTTTAGTAACTTCTAAAGTAATCATTCACATGAGCTGACATCAGTTAGAGAACCACTGGAAAACCAACTGGGAGTACTGGACAGCTGTTTCGTTCTAGTTTGAAACTCTTCATCAGTACGCACCCACCGAGGTTCGAATCCAGGAATTACGAAATGGTCGCGCTACGTCATGAATTGGCAGAAGTTAGAATTCACTGGCCATTGGGTCGAGTCTCAGTGGTTCAATGGTCTACGAGCTCGCCTTGTAACTAGAAGGTCCTGGGTACGTCCCAAACTAGGACGAAACAGCTGTCCAGTACTCCCAGGTTTTCCAGTGGTTCTCTAACTGATGTCAACTCATTATGAAATCCTCCATCCAATCAAACTAAATCCCTACAAAACCAATACTTGAAAATCAATCTAATAATCATTCACATTTGGTAAATCCTATTAGCTATTTCGGCTTCTATTACATGCTTTCTCTCTCTCTTTCGTGAAGACAATTTATCGAAGACACACAGAGTAAGGAATTGGGATTCTTTCAGGCACACTAATCAAAAATGGATATCCAACCTCCTTAATCGAAAAACATCTTAAGAAAAAGACCGATGCTCTGAAATACCTAGATGTGACGAAGAAACAACTTAGCGTAAATCTGTCTGTCGACGGCAACTCTTAGAACGTTCTAAGCTACATCTCTACGTCTCACTTTCTCTACACATGCTCTTATTCACCAAAGTGTCAAAGACAAGATCCCAATTTTGACAACTTCAGTGTGTACTAAACCAGTTCACATACATAGGTCGTACCAGCAGAACATTATCTAGACGAGCCCATGAACACTTACCAGAATAGTGATCAAAAGGAGAAAGTAGAATAGTCAACAGCTTAATTGTGGGGCACGCTATTACTTCTGGTCACGCACCGTCAAGCAGAGACTTCATTTAGAGTTGTACACAGAGTACGACCAAGACGTTCAAAGGGATTTCGCCTACAACTTCGTCCAGCCGAAGCTTCAGTAATCCATAAGGAAGAACCTGAACCTTGAGTTCAGAATCGTTTTATTATTGAACATCTTTTACTACTGTGAATTTAGGGTCAATTTTGTTTTCCCTGAATACTTGTATAACAAACTCTATGTAGTCCTTTTTATTTTCAAATCCAATTTCAAGCTTTACTTTTGGAAATTTCTCACCTCTTCACTATTACATTCACGAATGTACAGCCTAGTTGATACCTCTGAGCAATTATTCCGCTGCACTTTGATATCTTAATTCATGATATATCAATAAATCACGAAGTCAGTCTCATCATATATATTGATCTCTCTAGGACACAACAAAGTAAATGCATCTAGTGTATTTTAAACATCTAATTTACTCATGCAACACCAGTATGTTGAACATTATTTTTCTAATCTTCGCGTAATCAGACTCCGACAATCTCTTTTAAATGATGCAGCTGTGATATCCAGCTATCAACCAAAGGGCGAGTGTACTGATCATCAGTCCGCTCCGTCCTCCTTTATGTCTGTGAGACCTGGCCATTGAGGGTGGAAGACATGAAAAGACTAGCTGTCTTCGGTCATAGGTGCCTGCGTTCTATCTCCTGTGTTAAGTGGTATAATAAGGTGAGCAATTTTGAGGTTAGGCATCGGTCAAGTGCTGGGTGAGGAGGGGAAATCAATCAACGAGGCTGTGAAATTACATCGACTGAGATGGTCAGGACATGTGTTACGTATGGCTAGTCATCGCCTTCCTCGACTGACGGCCAATGTTAGCTGACATAGGGTCAGACTGGAGAAGAGCCAGCGGAGGTCAAACCAAAACATGGCACCAGTCAATGAAATCCACAACAGTTAGTTTAAGCCAGTCACGTAGGAAGATGCAGACTTCCTGGTTGGGGTCTTCGGGACGGTAAAGACCAATGGTTGGAAACAATTGGTGATATGGCTCAAAATCGTCCTCAATGGCACAGATGCATTCACTCCTTGTGACTTATGATCTCAAATGAAACTACATCGTTCTTCGTTATTACTATTCCTTAGTCTCACACCTCTGTTTACTGTCCCTATTATGCATTTCTTCTCTTGCTTTGTGTGCTACATGGAATGTGGCGACTTGAACTGCCGCACATCAGTGCAAAGTTCTATGTCGAAAAGAGACAGACAAATGATGCAATATCATTTTAGTAGTCTTTGAACTGCAACACTCTTGATAACTTTGATGACCGACCGTAGACGAAAACCCTACTACTTCTATCTTACTTTTCGAAATAAACACACAAACCTCAAAATATAGTAGTAACTACTTAGTTGGTGCGCTTAAGCTAACCAGCTGATTTTCTCGATAGACCAGCCACTTTAAATAACACTAAGCTCGTAGGATGGTGACAGATGCATGTGAATAACACATACTGCATGTATTTCTGCATAAGTTTACATTCCTTTTAAAGCCCTCACGAAATTAGGCATGCTTTGGCAGAGTTGCCGATAGACTAGTTATGAAGTGATTTCAATAACTTTTTGCTGCACGTCTGACATTGGTGTAGTGGTAAAATGATTACGGTTGTTCCATAAACTTAACGCAATAAACAATTTAGTCTTAATTAAGTACACCGCATTAAAAATCAGAATTAAACAATTACAGATAGTACTCATGCAAATGTAATGACAACAAGTGATATTACAGTCTATTTTTGTTACTATGATAGGCGCTTTATACACAGATTTCCCGAACATGGTCTTAACAACAACAACAACAAAAAATCCAATAGAACTTTTGCACCAGAAGATCATTTATTTCGGTGAAACAAGTAAGATAATATAGAATTAGCGAAATTAAATTGAAAATACTAACAGAAAATTATCTACACTGGGTTCATACAAACGTGTAGTTTTATATTGCAAGGCGTGTTCAGCACTTGCTAATGCACACACTTGGCAGGAATAGATAACGACAAAGAGACAAATTAGAAGATAATGGATTCATGCAGCATACTTGTAAAGATGGTAATAGTAGTAGTAATAATAATAAAAAGGCTTATAAATTATAGAGGTATGCAGCAAACTAACTGGCAACGCAAAAAAAGACAAGATATTATGCTGAGACAGTTGTTAGTGAGCGTCTGTAAGTGCGACAACTCCAGGTAATTGTTTACCTAAAATGGAGGAAAAAAATAAAATATACAGCAGTGATGACTATGAGTAATAAACAGACAGCATAAGACTAGGATGTATTTAAATCAACACGGTGAGATTGTCCGCAGCAAACCCATGCGCAGGCGGTGGTGCTTACAAAGTCTGATGATGACTAAGCAATAACAGCGATGAGTTGTAATTCTGTCCTTAACCACCATTAACATCGAATATGGAGATACACAGTCTCACTTAAAGACTGACGAGATCAAGATAACTAATGGACACACTTATGCTTACCACGTCACAAAGAACTTATAGATGAACGATTTGATTAGATTACTAGAACCAGTTAAAACGCAAATAACTGAAACCTTTCATCAACAGATAAAACAGAACTAATATTATAATATTAGTAAAGTAAATGTACAATAAGACTGAGAGTTCCAGTCACTTAGTATTATTTTATCTTACCTTCAAGAAGCTCAAGGCTAGCACCACCACCAGTACTAACATGACTGACTTTGTCCTCTGTATTCCATTTGGCACAACAAGTTGCTGTATCACCACCACCTATAAAAATGCAGATAAGATTAGATATTCATGTGTTTCGAAACAGCCCCTAGAAATAACGACAAAAGTTGAAAACACAGCACAACAGATGAGTGGAATTAAATTAGAACGTGGAGAATCTACATGTGACATGAAACCTCGTAACGGGACCACTCGTACTAACGATATTTCATGAATGCCTCGGAGAGAAGACGAAACGACAACGATGAGCAATGAGGATGAGTTCAATCATTACTAATAATTACAGAATTAATCCCACCCTGTGGCATCAACAAAGGTAATTCTGACGTCCAATGACTCATGTCTAAATAGCATTATCATTTCGGGAGACAGCATTGACAGGTCTTTAAATGTCACCGTATCATCCTGAAAACCGTTTACACTTTGTTAGGACCAGATGGAAGAAGCTGAGGTGATCAGTTTGTGAGGTGGCGCCGTGGGATCACGGATAGTTGTGTTGGTTGATCACGGTTCCTTATATGCAGTCTGGGAAACATACAAGTGATTCAAACTGTTATAGATATAGATCGCAATCAATGGTGACCACACTGCAGTTCCCTTCTATCTTCTATTTTTAAAAGTAATACGAAGGAACACTTTCTTGAGTGTTCGAGATAGTTATGCCTACCTAAACCACGTTTGTTGCCTCTAAAATACTTTATTTCTCCCTTCCTTATACTATGGTTTTATCATTTTATGTGACCATATTGTACCAAGTCTAAGCTACCTATGGAGAAGGGCTTAACCGGTCCAGATAAATTATTTCGAATGTATCTCACGAAATAAACACAAAAGTAGCTTACCAATGATAGTTGTAGCTCCATGTTTGGTGGCATCAACTACTGCATCCATTGCTGCCTTTGTTCCAGAAGCGAACTTATCCATTTCAAAAACACCCATAGGACCATTCCAAACAATAGTTTTAGCTCGACCAATAACTTTGCGGAATTCTTCAACTGTTTTTGGACCGATATCCAAACCCTAGTCAATGCAATAAGTTAATCGTATAAAGTAACATGAATGGAAATTGATTTCTTAAGGTATACGACATTCTTACTTATTTTGTTAAAACAGTCTTGCAGAAGAAGAAAAGAATACTCAGTAGCTAATGATGATACATTAGAGTAAATACACAAATATTATTACCTTCATTCGAAGAACACTCACAACCGATGCAATAATACGACCATAACTTAAAGTAATAGTAGTTCCACCCTTCCTGTTGGATTTATCATCATATTATGAGTAAATTACGACTCAGTTGTCCTAAACACATTTTTACGTACCAGGATACTAGACACACTAAATGTGCGGAACTAAAGACACCACCAAAATATTCAGGCTTAGGTAGGTGACGAGATATTCGAACCCTAGGCCCATCGTGTGAAACATGAGTGCCTAAATTATTGAAGCAGACTATGTTGCGAATATGTAGCACATTGAACTTGAAATGCTACATGTAGTTCCTAAATCTCTGTTTACTTGCATCACTTGAAAAGCTATAAACTTAGTATTCTATGTAATATATATGCTTTCTTTAATGTTACGTCCGATTTCATAAAATTATTGTGCATGTTTGTTGGTTTAAAAAAATAACTGATTGCCTGAATTCCAGTTTGTGTTCACACAGAGTAATTAATACGATCCTTGTTCTCATGGTACGATTCCGAATCCAAGTACTAGTTAGTAGAAAGTATGGAAATTACTCTTTAACTGGATTCAAAAACAGTAAAACTACCTTGCACAGAATAGCGGTTATACCATTTGACGAGAATTACGATACTGAATATTTTCTTTATTATTAACAGATAGGTATCGAAACGCAAGAGAAGCATATCAAAACACTAAAAGTGAAATCCCACGAATGAAGGCATTTATACTCAATATTATTGTTATTGTGATCGTCAGTTTAACCTACCATCCAACCATCAGGAATTCCAGACTCTATGGTTGCTGATCCAGTCTTCGCATCCTCAGCAAACTTATCAGCAGTAATGAAGTCGACTGGTAAGTGAATTGCAACATTTTTCGCTTTTGCTGTCTCCATTACTTTATTGACAGTTTCAGCACCTGGTGCATCAAATAGACTGTCACCAATCTACAAAAAATTTCAAAGAACTTATTGAAGAAATCTGGTAGAACTCAAGTCCCTACAATATAGGAAAAATTAATGAAAAGAACGTTAAATATGCGACTTGATGTAATCCTCAAAAGTAGTGCAGCTGGTATAACGACACTCCAACTATGCCTCTAGCTTCCAGTTTCAAACAAAACATCTACGTGTAGTGACTCCTACAGATTCATAAACTACAGCGGCAGCCTACTGGGTTCCTATTTAACGATCAAATAAAATCTTGTAGGCACTCACTTGATCTTAAGTTTGAAGCAGTATTTCACAGGACAATATATTCCGTAAACTAATTTGCTAGTAATATTCACATTTATTGATTTGCCTTCAGCAGAAACCACTAATTTAAAAATCCAAACTGTTGAAAGAGGTATCGTGACAACTAATCAGCTTTAATGTTTCATTAATCTTCTAAATAAATAGTTAGGGAAAGAATTCCGAGATGAGGACTAGTGCATTAGAAATTAGTCAAATAAGTAAAGATTTTGATAAGGACTGAAAAACGTTGTCAAGTTGACTTACTTTCATGTTGTGCAACTGTTTCAAAAATGTATACGCCATACCACCACCGATGATTAGTTCGTTTACTTTATCAAGCATATTATTGATCAGTTGAATCTTGTCACTAACTTTGGCACTAAAAAGAAAAACAGGGTTATATATATATATATATATATATATATATATATATATATATAAAGTACTTTGACTACACTATTAAAAGTAACAAGACTATATTTTTAATATAAAGAAAAGTAAATGGGAAAGACTTTACCCGCCAAGAATAGCCAAGAATGGACGTTCAGGATTTTCCAAAGCTTTGGCGAAATATGTCAATTCTTTGTTCATCAGGAATCCACAGGCCTTTTGTGGCAACTGACAACCAACCATGGAACTATTTAGCGAATGAATATAAAAACATCAAATTTATAGTAGGAAGCAAGGTAAAGAGTATTTATTATTTGATAATGAAAACAAATGATTTTTACGTGACAAAGTTATTGGATGACTAGATAATCGTAAGAAAAATGAAACATTACCAAAATGAACGGATTCAGAGAAATAGCTGTCTATAGAAAGGTATCATCACCAGTAATCTATAGCTACACAGTTAACTTACAAGGGACAAAATTTCAGTGAGATAATACGACAGCTATGTCACAAACTAAAAGTTTTGACAACAACGATGATACGATTATAGATACTCAGTCTTGATAGACTAATACTAATTGGTTTTACTTATTAGTAAACAGGTACAGAGATCAAAAACTAATTAATATATTTTCGCAAACTACTTCGTGTCCTCCAGGTATACAATAGTCTTGTGAAGACATAAACACCGAACACTTGTAACACGTGTTTGTTACAGTTTGACTAAAAAAACCAAGTAGTCGGCAAATTAACTTGAAAATACCCACCAAACTGGCCAAAATAAAAAAAAATCACTTACGCATGAGCTCGATGAGCAGTACCAAATGCATCATTTACGTAAACGTCACCCAGCTTCGTTAGGCTTTCACTGAAGGCCTTGACTTGGTCAGCAGTGGCTTTCGTCTGTTAATGAAAAAGTACGGAATATAGTGTTAGGTTTAATCAAGTTCCACGTTAAGTCACATCATCCAAATATATAGCGCGATACTAAACACATGTCAACGTCGACAGACACTCACTGTGAAAACTTAGCTGGGGACTCTATTAAGCTACGAGTAGTGACGCACAACTAAAAAATTTCTATTCCCCCAAATCCCAATTGTGCGTCGGTGGCATAGTGGTTAGGACTCTCGCCGACCATGCACATGATCCGGGGTTCGAGCACACCCGATATCTATGGTCGACCTGCAAAAATTCGGGCTACCGATATCCAAGCTGAAAATTCCATACTTGTTCCAAATATACGGTGTGAAATCAAGCTGTAATCAAAAATAAATTAAATAAATAAACCTGTTTACAAGGATGACAAGTCTACGATTACCGTAGAGCTTGTTTATCAGTCTTCACCTTCTAAGCATAATTTAGATGCCACTTAGTTTATAAGCATTTCCCGTTATATAATTTTTAGTTATGAAATTTTACGCGCAAGTTAAAGAATAGATATCCACAGTAACGAAAGCGCCAGTGACCCACAAAAGCTTAACCGGACTTAACGGTGTAAAAAAACAATCCATATTCATAAAAAAGAGTTAAAAAAAGGGGCACAATTTATAATAAATGCTTAGTCTGTTTCTTTCATCTTTTGAAGTTGTAATTCCTTTGAATTGCGCTCTAATGCCATTGAAGACAAATATCTAGTGTCGAGACAAATTCGAAACAATAAACTTAATGACAGTATTATATAAGTAGTAGTGTCGATCATGACTAGTAGAGATCATACCATGCATATATGAACTACAACACGAACACGATAGTAACCCAAATAAACAACATGAGCTCAAATCTGAAATATCGTGAGACTTTAAGGATAACTCCTTTAAGATAACTTCGAAGAGAACTCCGGACAACCTAACGATTCACAACGAGCTAAGCTACACAGATCAGGCATTATCTCGTAACGATCAGATCAACCTAAAAAGTGTGCAGATTTACTCAGAAACGTATATAGGTGACTATATGAGCCGAAATGATTTGCAAACTAAGAATCGCAATGCATACTAACTTTTTCGCCAGTGGGTGAAACACCTTTTCCTTCCTCTTCCACGTGGAAGCGCAAGTTCTCCAACAAAAATACAGTCCCAGCAGGTGGATCTGCACAAGCTTTCAATACTTCAGGACCAACGCAGTCAGGAAGGAAGGTAACTTCTTTGCCCAAAAGTTTGGAGACTTCAGGGCACACAGGTTTCAAGGAATATTTATCAACTTTGTTGCCATCTGGACGACCAAGATGCGACATCAGCACAACGCTTTTAGCGCCTTTATCCAAAGCATACTTAATTGTCGGTATGGCTGCAGAGATCCTACAACAATGTTAGATAAAGCAACAAAACATCCCACCTTTGTGTATTAGTGACTTTACCATCCTTCATGGGTACGTTAAAGTCGACACTGTAAGGCAAAAAAAGTCACTACTCATCAAAGCTTCTTACCGAATAAGGACACGCTTCCCTTTCAGATCAACATCACTAATACTTAGCTTAGACAAACCCATCACGTAGACTAGTTAGAAAAATACTAAATGGCCGCGCCTCTCAAACGTCCTACAAAAGTACTTAGAACAATACATTCAATGTTCCAATATTGGATATCGGGCATCCTTTTGACTACTAATGGGCTTAATCGGCATGTTGTCATGTCAGGCAGTTGACATTTTACTTACTGAATGTTTTATTGCATATAATATTTGCCAAGATTGTATTTATGGAAAGTGTGATTTACCTTAACACCATTGTGTACGTGTCAGGTGATCTGACTAAAGTAAACTCTTAGCACTCAGGCTGTAGTTATTTATGTCTCAGGTGAACTGTGTCGAAACATTAGTATGATAAGCAGAATGGAGTGGATGGAGGAAAATTTTTTCTACTGGAAACGTCTGGGTTTTTTTATTTTTGATTATAACTTGACATCAGGTGTGTGTCGGCAGGAAATCGAACCTCGGACGATATGCATGGTCGGTAAGCGTCCTAACCGCTGCCCCACCGGCGCACTTAATGTGAAAGCCACCCATTTCGGCTTAGAATCACATTATACACACTTCTTCATCTGTCTCAGAGTGTACGTGCAGCCTATTCTGATCTAATGCAGAGCAATATTTGCCAGTAGATGGTACCATGTAGCACTTTTGATCATTGGCAACCACCCTTCACCGTTTCACGATAGTTCCAGATCTCATTTTAGGTAAGTTTATTTTTAAAAACACCATACACTGATGGAGTATTAACGATCGGATGACGTTTCGAGCGCAATTTATTGCTCATACTTCTATCAAGTTCTAGATTTCAGTGGATTCCAAAAAGAGACTAGGGCTGCAATAGATAATTTCGGGTAAACCCTGCGAGAGAGATTCTGGTCAACATAAAAAGCCGATAAGATGAACAAATCGTTTGGAATATCCATCCCAGAAAATCTGTTTGTAATATTTATACGTATTTAAAAGTTGCGATTGACTACGTAATTAATATACTTATCTCCGCTGGGCTGTAATACCATTAATTTGTTATCTGCATACCACATGTTTTTTTTATCTTTATCATTTGCCTTAGTCCCTGTTTAGCCTTTAATTGTAATACCTCTTTGTGGTTCCGTGTACATTGACAATGTGTTGTTAAACGATGTGAGTTTTTTTGAATTTGTTTTGAAGGTCACTCTCACCTAGGAAGCCTTATTGTTTGGTTCTTGTTGACAGGGCTACTACCCCCACCTAGTTGGGAATATTCTCCGTGATTCTTATGTTCATTTTAGAGTTAAACTTCAGTTAGCTAATTTCGTCATACAGTGCTTGTTTGGTATTTAGAAACATTCATCACCTGAATTGAAACTTCACGGCACTGTTGAGGTAATTTTGGGTTTGACGTTGTTATTGTTTAATGAAACCACTTGAAAATTGTAGAGAGGAAATGCATCGGCTCTTTAAAAGGGATTATGAAGTTGTATCAAAAAAGGGCAGTTCTGGTAATTGCGAATTCTGTTCACTCACCGACCCACATAGTTACGTAGACAAACACTGTTAAGAAATTGCTAAAATCTGAGTGACAGGTGGGCCAGGAGAATAGGTATAAAAACAAAATGAAGATTAGGCGGGAAGACTGGGTGTGAAACAGATAAGAAAGTGGATTCAGATATACACCGAATGAAAAAGAGAGAACACACGAGAAAAGAACGATACCTACAGTGATGTAGATTTTGGAAACAATTAGAACAGAATGGTACAGTAGGCAGATCAGCATTTGCAGGTTAACCGAGGCTAATTGGTGGTAAACGCTAACGTTTTGAGGCGTCAAACGGAGTTGGACTGATTGCAGGCGGTAAGGGCCTCTTAAAATTTTGTGAAAGCCTGGGTGCTCTCAAAAGACACCCTAAAAATGCAAAGCTAGACCACCCGAGGCTTGGTAAAGCATCCCACCACCGCTCACTGGCTTTCTGAAAGACTTCATTATAGACAAGATTTTGTTTTGATAAATCACATGGTGTTGTACAGCAATATTGACTGATGACGTTTCGAGCACAAACTATTGCTCACAGTCACATCAAGTGACTAGTCTGCCAACTAGCACAATTATAAATATAGAAATATTGTCTTCACATTAAACAAAAAGAACCTGAGTATGTGTTGGGTGGATTACAAATACTTGGGAAAGAATAAAGCCTGAAGTCACTTACCCCCACATAACTTTGGTGTGAACGGCATCGTATTTTATTCTTGATTTACATCTAGAACGGGTATTAATTAAAAATAAGTTATATAATGGACTGGACGCCAAAGTTTTACGGCCAGAAAGACATCTAGCTGTATAATTCGGAACAGCAGGATAAATATTAATACACCTTCTCTTTTCTTCTACGTTTCCACGCACTTTGACTTTCGGGTTAAACTTCTTAAGTATCTATTCCTACCTATATGTGGGGACAATCACCCTTTTCTCCTTCCGTACAACTATAAACCCAAACTGACCGTTACTGGGAAACACTATAAAATACAGTGACTACAGCTTCTTGGTAATACAAGAGGAATTTTACAAATATTCAAACCCTTTATAACTCATAGTGATTGCAAGTTCTGCATTCCATGTGCCTTTCTCTAGCACCTGTTTGTCATATTTCTTGTTACCTTCTAATGATGCCACCTTTTCTGATTTCCGCGTGAAGCTGACTGGCTATACGTATATTAATGATCGAAAGGTCAAACCTGTACCAATATCTTATAACTTATTCGATCATAAGAAAAATTTACATGTTACTTTTCTAGTTATCTGAATTTTTTCCTTTTTCAATATTTATTTTGTGGAGCAGTGTTATATCTAAAATTGTATCTGTCAAATACGATTATGCCTGTACAAACGGTATGCCAGTCATGTTGGTGCTCAATTTACGTGAATAAAAATATTGATATTATTACGCGTTTTCCCAGGCTTTATTTGGTCTTGGAAAGTTAGGGTGCTATGCAGAATGTTTGCGGCGAGCTTCGGGCGCATTGCAGAATGTTCGAGGCCTTGTCCCACATTAGTCTGTGCGCCCAAAAATAGCTAGTTGGGACGACCGATGCTTTCGTACTAACTCTGCGGAAATGGATTTGCTACAGGCCAACGAGTGGATCTTTTAATAGGGATGAAATTGTGACTGAAACCATTGGAAAAGGCGGTTGACCAGCGGCATCCATATGTACATGGTCGAACTTTGTGTCAAGTATTGGAAAACGGTCGATCGACACATTGGTGTGACTATGGAAGTTGACAGCAATAACACAATCCATTTTGAGTCCACTATTTGGTGTGCCCGTCAATGTTTGGCCACATAAATTTTCTCCTAAGCACCTTGGTATTAGTATTGACTCCGGGGTGTGATAAGTTGCACGACTTCTCAAAAACTGAGCCTCTCACAGCTGTTGGAACAAAAGATCGACATATGTCAGTGGAGGTGTCGTAGGGGTGAAAAACGTTTGTCAAGTCAATGAACTTCAGCCGTTTCACCATCAACAATCAGTTTGTTTATCTGTGTGAGCTGAAACACATTAAGGCCCGTATGAATTTCAAGGGACAACAGCTAAATGGTTTGATTTGACCATTCATACACTTGATAGTTGCACGAACAAATTTCCTACCTGGTCGACTGATGAGCCTACTGTTCTGACCAATATTAGTTGCAACCATGACAACGACAACGCGATACGATACCGCCAAAACCCCTGAACGAAGAGACAGGAAGGGAAGACAGACTGTTGACTTGGGGAGCTTTTACCTCCTCGCATCGGCAGTAAAAAGTCGTTGACAGGATTCGCGCATATAAATATATACATATTTTAAATGAATTTGAGAGACACTACAGCAACAAATTAAAACAGCCAATGAACAATAGCATTCAAAGGCCACGAGAGGAAAATACAACCAGCTCTCTAAGGATAAATGTAGTATTTTTAGAAAATCAAGTCTATATAAAATGGTGACGTCGTGGCGTGATTATGTATCTCCAAAATCTACTTCTATCACCGCCTATAAATTCACGTGTGAGCAGCAATGAGGGTCTTATTATCTCAATCGTGAGATTTCTCCCTAGTCGAAACCAACTTGGAACGAGTTAGAAGTTGTTTAAGCAGCCTAACTAACTGGTTCCCTAGATAATCAACAAATACAGTGGTGCTCTCTTGACATTCTGCGTGTCAAGAAGAGATGTCGTTGAAAAGGATTTCTAGGACATATCGATTGTCTACGTGTGATTAATGATGCTCAGTAAGGCATCAGTCTAATGTTCTAAATTCTGTATTCAGCCTTAATTGTCCTTCATTTGTTTCGTGGAAACTACAGTGTGAGGTGTTGAATTCTTAAGAATTCAGTCGTCTGATTCCATGAACACATCGATGTTAGTTGCATCATCTCCAAAGGCGAAAACTTGTTGAGTGTTTTCAGGCGGTCATCTCAACCAAGTTTGGTACAGGAGCAGTTTGTTAATTTCCTGGCTTGTCACTAGGCTTAGCATGTGTTTCGTCAGTTAAGACGGTGCTTCATCTTTCAACTCCACATCACTTAACATGCATTGCTTGTCTTCAAAGGGCGATGTACAACGTATTGCTCATTCCCTCAGTTTATCGTAACGGAATTCCAAGCTAGGATTGACGATATGCAGGTGTGCGAGTTACGCGACTTCGTCCCCTGGTACAGTACTCAAAATGCCAAATGTAGCGTTATGCGAAGATACTTTCTTGGCGGTGAATTGTTCAAGTCAAGCCAACCAATGGAGTGGTTTATAAACTGGTGTATTAAGAATACTACAACAAGCGGATCTTAGCTCAAAAGTACCAGAGTTATTATAAAACACTAACATTCGTGGAGAAAGGGTTTAGACATAGTAAGGAAGCAATACGTATACATGACGAAAATATTGAAAGACAGAATACAAAAATGACAATGATCACAAGAAGCAGGTTACACGTAGAGAAATTACAGCAATATCACTTCAAGCTGTGTGACATATATAAGCCCACGATACTTAGAATGTAAA